CTGACACCCCTGTGTTTTTCTACCACCTCACAAAATATCAAGGGGGTCGTTCGGCAAAAGTTTTTTTTCGTAATATAGCTCATATAAGGCGCCGGTCAGTCGAGGTCAGTTTTGACCCTCTCTTCGTGGACTTTGCGGCAAACTAACATCGGCCCCCGTTTTCTATTGCCCCAAGGCAGGAGCCTGCCAAATTAAAACGCCCGCGGTGCCGGGAAGTGCCCTATCGGGCACCCGACCACTTTGCTATTATATATATATATATATATATATATATATATATATATATATATATATATATATATATATACAGAGGCATAGCGACGGGGGGGGGGTGCGGACCGCACTGGGTGACATTATTTAGGAGAGTGACTATAAATACAGCTTGACGTAGCATGTTTTTTCTATCATTAGCAGGTTTACGTCATGGTGTCGCCCCCCTCCCCCCTAAATATTAGTAAAGGTATCCAATAGATACTTAAGTGGCCCATGCTTTTCTTTATAGTAATTTAAATAGTAATAGTAGTGTATAATTTATTTTCTACTTTTTAGTTCATTATTACATAAAAGCTTGTTATTGAATAACTCCGGCTGGCAGGCGGAAAAAGCATTACTGTTACAATTATAATCCGACTTTCAAGTTTCATTTTCTCAATGAGTAAAAACACTATAAGATTTTTTTTTACATTTTGTACTGAATACCTAGTAGTTTGTCCACATTACCACCCAGATGCCCCAATTTGTGCTGTATGAAAGCTTTAAGTTTACTTTAAGCACCCTCTATAATAGTAAGGTAGAACATGCCTTTGCATGTGTTGGTGTAGGGAGACACAAGGTGCTCTCTGGACCATTGGTTGCACTACCCCAGGGCCAAAGTTTCATGGCATTGGGATGAAAGGTGTACTAATGGTTAACAGACAGACGCACACACAGACATGCATATATATATATATATATATATATATATATATATATATATATATATATATATATATATATATATATATAAATTTATTTATTTATTTATATATGTATCAGTTGTTTTTTATTACAGGAAACACATGCAGATCAACAATGGCTGAAGGAATTTTTCTACATCTTTTGAAAAAGAAAGGCATTTCTCATAAGGTACAGACCATGGATAGTGTTTTTATGTTGGATTTTAAAGAATTTTTTAAATTCTTCCAAAAAAATCCATTTAAATGTAGTATGTGTATAAACTTTAATGCAGTACTTTCCGTTGTGTTATTGACTACTGACTTAGGGGTCGTCCATAAATGACGTCACACTCGTAGGGGGGAGTGGCGGTCGGTAATTTTGTGACGATGTGTGATGAGGGGGAGGGGGGGGGGGTTCAGATGGTGCGACGTCACACTTTTGCTTTATAGATAAGAACTGTTAGATAACGAATTTTAGATGTTATTTAGCGTTTTAGAAAACAGTTTTAATAAATTATGGTAGGAATTTATTAAAATACTCTATTTTGACATATTTCAGACAAGATTTTGGAAAAATATCGATGTCTAAAAAAAAAAATTCAACTGCAATTTTGAGGAGGGGGGGGGGGTCGTAGACTAAGGTGTGACGTCATTTAAGGGGTGGGGGTCTGGCTTTTTGTGACGGAGGGGAGGGGGGAGGTAAAAATCGTCAAAAAAAGCGTGACGTCATTTATGTATGACCCCCTTACATTCTTATTCACACTTTAGCCAAAGAACCATAAATTTAAGGTTATAGATATACACAAATCTGATTTATACTTGTAGTTTGTATAAATTTACCCAAAAATTGTGTAAAAATAATGTCCTCAGTTAATTTTTGTTAAAGTTTGCTCTTTAAAATGTTTTAGTGGTTGGTTGACAGTGCTGGCTTAGTTGATTGGCATAAGGGGAAGCCACCCAATGAAAGAACTAAAAATGTACTAAAGAAAAATGGTATTACAGAGTATGATCATGTTGCAAGGCAGGTAAAACACTTGAAACAAAAAGAAATGTGTTCTTTGTTACTATTTTTCTTACATTGTTGTACCATTTTACATTTTATTAATTAAGATTTTAGGTAGCAATGTATTGTCTTATTATAAATTGTTGATTAAAATTCTGATCCTTTTACTTTTTAAAAGCAACCTTAACTTTGATTGCAGGTTGTTGAGCAAGATTTTAAAACATTTGAATATGTTTTTGTTATGGACCACTATAACATGGAGTAAGTAGTAATCAATCAGCATTCCAGTAGTATATTTATTTCATGATACATTTAATTTAGTTTATGGCTATATTGTTGTTGAGAGTGGCTCAATTTTTATGTTTTTATTTTGAATTTTGCTTGGTTATGGCAAATCTTGTAACTCAATTTTAACCCACTTCTAATGCAGTAATTTCTTTATAAACTTTCCAGATACGTTAATCTTTGATGGCAATGAAAGAATATCTCATTTTTATCTAATTAGACATTAGAACTATCATTTAAGAATGACTCAAGTCAATTATAAAAGGGGAAGTTACAAGATTAAATACCAGTAATCTAGCAATCACTCAATTAGATAACCAATGGATGGTAAACTGTTTTGGCTTGTTAATAACTTGCTTTCCAGTCAACCATGGACTAAGAAGGAGTAGAAAATTATCTTTTATAGCAATCATTTTTAGTTGGAGCCTATGTGGTTTTAACTACAATTGGAACGGTTTACTAAAAAGTGGGGGAAAAAATATAAAAATTAAAACCTTTATAATAAGCTTGCACTGAAATTAAAAAAGTCAAACACACTTGTTTTCTTTAACAAAAGCTTTGGTCATTAAAATATGTATGAGATCTCATGAGCGATAACAGTTTTTATTGCAGAAAGCCCATTTGTAATATTTTTACTTTCAGTGCATTTAAAAGATTATTATTATGAAGTTTTTTATACTTGTTTTATTAGATTTACAATATAATTAGAATAAAAGTTGAAAGAAAAATCTTCCACTATTGACTATAATATTGTCACTCTTTGTACTTTACTAATATCTCTGTTAAATGTCAATGTTCTATTTGATTTTAGCACTTGTGAGAGTAATAACTTAATAGAACCAAACTGTACAGTATCACTTTAGTTGTCTTTCTTATGACCAAATTAATTAGATATAAATATAAATTTTTATTAACATGTTGGCAATCTAGATATTATCTTTTTACCTATCAGATATGTCAAACAGTTTGTGCCTAAAAACAACACCGCTAAAATATCACTCCTGGGAATCTATGATCCACAAAAACAACTAATTATACATGATCCTTACTGTTCCCATGTAAGCTAATTTTACTTATTGATAGATTTAACTTCTGACAATTAAACGTGGTTTCTTAAATCTTGAAATTACATAGCAAGGGCAGTTGAATCTCAACACTAACCTGGCTTGGAAATACGCTGAGATTTTCAATGCCCAGGTCGTTTTTTCTGTCAGACTGCAGCATGCATTTATTATTTGCCATTCCTTAGTTTTAGATGAAAGCTGTAATATTCCAGTACACACAAATGTATGCCATACACACCCAGCATGCGACCCAGTGGCGTAGCGAGGTCGGGTGTCACCCGGTGCGGCACTTAATGGTGTCACCCCCAGAGGCGTAGCGACCCTTCCCGGGGACAAACTTTCAAATTTTCGATTTGCACCCCCCCCCTCAAACTTTCAATTTGCACCCTCCCCCTTTGCTATTTTTGCCTTGGTGTCACCCCCCTAAATGGTGTCACCCGGTGCGGTCCGCACCCCCTGCCCCCCCCCCCCTCGCTACGCCTCTGATGCGACCATCACATGCCCAGTTTCCCCCTTCCATCACTCCTTTTCCAAACATACCTCCAACCTACTACATATTTTAAAAAATTATACAATAATTTTACTTCATATTATTCATTATCTATCTATTGGACAGCACTAAACAAAACTCACACACCCTTTACATTCACCTCTCACTCACACATTCAGCATCCTCCATCCACTTGTTTATCATGCTCTGATTCTGCAGTTTTACTGGGCACCCCTACTACAGTTAGGATTAGGGTCTGTATTGCTAGACCTCAATCAATAGACACACTATTATAGTGTGTCTTGAGCATTGCAACGACTTGAGGTTTATTGCTATCCTTGAAAAAACGTTCATAATCTATTTTCGTCTTTCCATATTTATCTATTATTAAATACCAATTTTTAATGCTTCTCATAAAGCAATTAAGCTGATTTCTAGTAAAAAGAATTTATTACTAATATAAAATATAATGACAGAAATACCCCTTTGCTTTTATCATTATTTGTGTTGATGTTTTAAACAAACTACTTACTAGATCTAGATCTATGTTTCAGAACCCTGAAGTTTTTGACCATCTATTTGAACAGTGTATGAGATGTTGCCAAGCATTCTTGAACTCACTTAACTGAAGAAGCCTATCAGTTTTGGCCCCACTTTGCCATAGCTGACTACATATTTTACTTTAAATGCTTTTGCACAGAAATATTGGGTGATTGTCAGTATAGTCATCAGGATGGAGCAGCAAAACTTTACTTCGTCTTTCATTTGCTTAGTTTGCTGTTGTTATAATCGACCCAAAGAAGAAAGAGGAACCACAAACAGAAATGTCTTTTTATTCTCTGTTTTTAACTAAAACCATTTGTAATCATTAGTATTGACATGACATCTTAATAAGTTTGAGATTTGTCTGTGATGCCTCGTCTAAAGCAACGTTCAAAATACCCAATGTGTCTGTTATGAAAAACATTTTATATTTATAGATGAAGCTAATATACCATTATCTGCTAGAATTTTATGTAGAGGGCTTTAATTTAATTTGTGAAAGATTTATTCTGTCTCCCAGCTCACTTCCTGGTTTCATACGAATGTCAGAAAAGGGGTCATCCATAAATGACGAAACGCTTTTTTTTTGACGATTTTTACCTCTCCCCCCCCCCCCCCCTCCCCTCCGTCACAAAAAGCCAGACCCCCTAAAATGACGTCACACCTCAGCCTACAACCCCCCTCAAAATTGCAGTTGGATTATTTTTTTAAACATCGATATTTTTCCAAAATCTTGTCTGAAATCTGTCAAAATAGAGTATTTTAATCAATTTCTATTACAATTTATTAAAAAAAAGTTTTCTAAAACGCGAAATAACGTTTAAAATAAATCGTTTTCTAACATTTATTTTTTATAATGCAAGTGTGACGTCGCACCATCTGAATCCCCCTCATCACACATCGTCACAAAATTACCGACTCCCCCCCCCTAAGAGAGTGACGTCATTTATGGACGACCCCAAAGCTGTTGAAATCTTTCATAGCCGATATATTGAAAAACTATAGTATGTATGCATAAGTATTAGCATTTCCCATTTGTAGTTTGTTTTTTTAATTTAGATTTTACAACAGATTAATATTAACATTAATTTGTGTTCATTATACCTACATTTTTTTCGAACATCGTAATTATTTTACCTCTTTTTAAAACTGATTAAATGTGCAATTATTAATTTCACACCACCCCCACCCACCTATCAGTATTTTTAAAACAAGCAGGTTATACTATTTTTCATCTAAGTGCCTTCCCACTACACTCAAACTGATGCCTTGTAGTGATGGGTCCATCGTGTTTGAATAAGTAGTATTTTTATGACCTTGGAACATGCTCAACAGTGCTTTACTTTTCAGACTACAGATTTGATAACCATCAGTGTTGGTGGACTCAGATATATTTTCTTATGGTTTGTTCTAATCCCTTATACTTGAATTATTTTTACATAATTGTAATAAATTGTACACACAATTCTGCTAGTCAGATAAAACTTTTTTTCACTGTTATTATTATTTTTTGAACTAGCTAATTTAATAAATAATATCTTTTACTTTTACTTATATTTTAAAATAAACTATTTAAATTACTTTTTTTAAATGAAGCTTTAACTTCTACCTATTTGTGATTATTTGTATTATTATATAATTATATTTGAACTTTTTAATTAATCCAAATAACGTTTACACAAATTTAGGGTCATCCATTCATGACGTCCACACAGAAGGGGGGGGGGGTATGTCCACATGTTAAATTAAATGTTAAAGTGCTTACATTGGGGTCATCCATAAATGACCGCATGCTTTATTTCTTTTGACGATTTTTACCTCCCCTCGTCAGGTAGGCCCAGGATGCCCTCCTCAGGTAGGCCTAGGGTGCCCTCGTCAGGTAGGCTCAGGGTGCCCTCCTCAGGTAGGCCCAGGATGCCCTCCTCAGGTAGGCCTAGGGTGCCCTCGTCAGGTAGGCCTAGGGTGCCCTCGTCAGGTAGGCTCAGGGTGCCATCGTCAGGTAGGCCTAGGGTGCCCTCGTCAGGTAGGCCTAGGTTGCTCTCGTCAGGTAGGCCTAGGGTGCCCTCGTCCGGTAACTCAGCGAACAATGGATGCCGTTAAAGGCTAGTCTTGTTGGGTTTTAGTAATTTCCTGCTCGCAGCGCCAAATATACCCAATGGAAAGAAATGCAGCCACAGTTTCTTCTACACAATGGTAGGTTCGATGGTTTTATTTACAACTAAAACAAACAAAAAAACCCAACAGACCTCCACAGTCTGTAAATAAATCGACACAAAAAAAAGGTTAATCATCACACACTATTCTTACACTACAATACTCTATTAACATACCATCGTACACAACATTCACAACTTTTCAACTAACAATGTACTACATTCACAATTCACACACAACATTCATAATTCATAGAGGTTACTACATTCACAACGTATCCACTAACAATGAGAGCTTGGCACAATCTTACTCACCCTAAGTCTTGTTACAGCAAACACTTTCGTTCTGATTTCTTAACTTGGTCTGGATTTACTTTCTACCAGTCTGCTCTGTCGTCTCTCGCGTGCTATCTGGTCGTCCCGTCGCGTTTCGACTGTCTTCGTTCGTCCTTTTGGCTTTTGTTTCTGTTTCCATAGTAGTCCATAGTAGTCTGTGGATGTGTGTCATACTGCCTAGCTTCGCTTAGGTTTTCAAAAAAAAAAACATTTGAGGGTTTGAGTTAATTAGTGATTTGCTGTTATGAAGAGCTTAATATTAAACAGTAGGCCTAATAAGAATTTTTAAAAATTGCTGGAATGTTCGCAATTTAGTACTCGAAACGCAATTAAAACTACAAAGGTTCCCTGAATAGAATAATTGAAGGTTATATTATACGAGCCGACCCGCTATTTAGTTGTTTTATTTTCTACTTTTCAGTAATTCATAATTTGTGAATTCGACAGTACCAACGCTGTCACTGAAAATATCTTCTTCTATAATAATATATATAATTCTCTTCCAGGAGACGATAGAAAACACCTAGCTGTAAGCGCGCTCCCTACCACCCCCATCCCTACATGGTCTGGTGAACTGTGGTTCACGCTAAATGTTTACAATCGTAGAGACTTGTTTAGTGACGGCTATTAGGGGCAGATAATGTAGTTTGAAACAATTTAAACTTAGGGGAGGTAACTAAGAGGAGTTTGCTTTCAAGGGGTGGGGGGGGGGGGTTTGGGGGAAAGGAGGGGGTATCGTCCTTAACGACCATCTGATAGTGGTTTAAAGCAAATATTTTCAGTGGTACTGTCGAATTCACAAAGTATAAATTACTGAAAAGTTGCAATTTTTTAATTTCAATATTAAGATATTTGATTAGGATTTTACACACACACACACACACACACACACACACACACATATATATATATATATATACACACATATATATATATATATATATATATATATATATATATATATATATATATATAATTTAAAATAAATAGCTTTCAATATGAAATAATATTTATTCAAATAAAAACATACACATGTTTCGAACAAAAAATATTAAGGTATTTTAACTAACTGCAAGAATGATAAAATCACTAATCAAATTATATAACTAAAATAATTTTGAAATATTTGCAATAGTTTGTCCTTGCATGCCTTTTAAAAGTTTGTTTAAACCTGGTTCCTAAGTTGTTTTTAGATTCAAGCACGCCTCTAGACTTTTATTTGTTAGTTGGTTTCTTTACTTTTTATTATATTCTTGCAAGAAAACGCTTGCTCGCATGAATATGTTGACACGAAGATCGTCAGCACTCCAAACGTCAACTTCTTTACCTCACTGTAGTATCCTGGAAGACTATTCCATGCGTCACATAATAGAGTCCCAACTTGTGGCGTTTCTTTTAGAGCTGTCTACTTGTGCAGCGAAACGTGCATGTTTTACTGGACCTCAAACTCTCCTAACTTGCTCTTAAGATCTGTGAACCTACCACTCCAAAAAATGTTTGGTTTTCAAATCCAGCAATTGCATTTGAAGCGAGACAGCATCAATTCCAAATAGATCAAAGTTAATCTCATTTGTTTTTGTGATGAGAGAATCTGCTATGAACGTCAGAGTAATTGCATTTGTTTTGAATTGCTCAAAACTTTAAGTGAATCCATCCTTCGTTGTGTTTATTGTAATGCTCAAGTAGTTAATGTTAATAGTAGCATTGGTTACATCATGATATTTTTTCAGATTTTTCAAAATTAAATAATTTACCGCTCTCTGTGTCTTCCAACAAAACAAAAATATTTTTAACAATCCACTTCTTTAAGCAAGGCATATGCTGGGTTTACCATTCCTTGTAGTTTTGCATTTAGCACATTTAGTTTATTTGTGATATCCACCATGAAGTTGAATGTTTCAATTTGGGATGGACAAGTATATTGAAAATAGGGAGTAACTAAACATTCTAATATAATAGTGAGTGTTTATTGTTTATATTTATCATTATATGTTCAACACCGAGTGTTGCAAAAAAAAAGTATGAGTTTTAAAAATAAAATTTAAAAAAACTATTTGTGCATGGAGCCGAAGAGCCGCATCTTGACATCAAAAGAGCCGCATGCGGCTCGCGAGCCGCAGGTTGCCGACCCTTGAACTAGAGGGAAGTTACAACCAATAGTGGTGGGGACATCGCAACCACCCACGGACTTGACCGACATTACCTTACCCATTTATCAACCGGGGCTTGGACAGAGTGACCGTACTTGCTGTGCCAAGATGGCTAGCACGATAACTACACCGGAAACGCTGGTCAGGTACCGATTAGATCTGGACACCTGCGGCGTTTAATAGCGAACCTCCGGCCATCGCCCATAAGTAGGGCCGTGAGTAGTATCAACAGGTAATTTACGTCGCACAGGACGAGATTAAGAGTGATGTAGGGGAAGACGGATTGGTACTTTGACATATAGGACATGACTTATCGACATTCAGGAATATTGGCAGATTTCAGGGGTAGCCAATAAATAAAGACCCATCGACACACGACGGGACATTATAACCAGAAGCTACACGAGAGACGATAAACTGGACTTTGGTCGTGGTACGAGGTATAAATCCAGACCAAGTTAGAAGAAACCAGTACAGACGTGTTTTCTGTGACCGGAGTAAGCGACTTTGGATGTCTGTTGGGTTTTTAGTTTTTTGGCTTTTTGTTGTAAATAAAATCATCGAACCTACCATCACTTGTTACCACAAGATTACCTTTTAAGGCATTTAAAATTACACAGTAGGTTTTGTTGTGCACTTGGTTGTGCAATTGCAATGTAGCCTTGGCCGCCGGTCAGTGATTGTGAAAATGCGATGGTTCGTAGTGATTTTCCTCAGTGCCAACGGGCAAAAATATTTCGATTTGCACCCTCCTCAACCTTTCAATTTATTTTTCCAACTCCATTTGGCGCCCCTTAAGGTCCCCCCCCCTTGCTACGCTACTGCTTCTAGGACGCCCGTAGATTTGCATTCACATTTTTTTATTAGCGTGAGTTAAATTTATTTTTAAATTACCTCCCTTGTCAAAATTAGAAAAAAAAAGAGTTAAAATTAATTTGATTTTTCTACCCTACTGCTATTATGTTAATAAAATGTATCCACTTTTTCTGGGAATCTAAACGAAAATTATATTTGACATTAATCTTTTTAATATGTTTTAGCAGTGTGCGTGTATTTAATATTTTCTTGACGTTATGCGAAAGAGTAAAAACAGTGGCATTTATAAAATAACCTTATGTCGTTATATAAACAAACTCTACTCTACTACTTGTAAAAAGAAGTTGCGATGCACTGTAAAGCACTGCATAGTCAGATGTTTACTATTATGGTTCCAAAAGCTATAGCGATGACAGAATGAAGTAAGGACAGGCTCAGCCCGCTTATATTTGTAGGTTCAAGAAAGTTTAGGGGGAGTTCACTCCGGTTTATTTCCCATAGACGGTAAACGCGGCGTCAATGAGAAAGGGAGCTTACTCTCGCTTTATTTCCGGTTTCTTTTTCCAATAAAGTATGTAGGCTTTTCTAGTTTGATCGTTTTACGAGACGTTTACTGTATTATTATACCGGTGTCAAATCGGTTTCAAGTTATTAGTATTAGATCTAGATCTATAATTCAGAATTAAGAGTAATCCATAGGTTTATTAGATACGTAAATTTCGCAGAAACTATCATAAATTAAATACCCTACTAGATCTAATATTAATAAATTTAAATAATAAATAAATATCATAATCATGAGACTACCAGATGAGTAGCCTATATTTTGGATAAATTTATAAATTGTATAGGCCTAGATCTAGATAATTTGAATAATAAATCACCATTTAGGGTTGATACCAAAATAATAGAGTGAAATGGGATTGCCCATAAATGATATCTATGATGTGCGTGCTGGGGAGGATCTGTAGCTGTAGGTTTGTGACGTCAACTGTGGGGGTCTGCAATTCACAATGGTTAGGCCTAATGAAAGGAGGAGAATATGAAAATTGCTGCAAGCCTCCTCTATATTGCTGTGCTCAATCAAAATAATGATAATTACGCGTTAGCATATATATACCTCGTTAAGAATTAATGATCATAACTATTCCAAGCCTGCTAGCAAGACACGCTGTGTAAAACGACCTTAATATATCATCCCTGCCAAAAAGGCTTGCTGACAAAAGCCTTCCCACAACAAATAGGCCTCCACATATTGACTGCTAACGAAGTTGATTTTAATAATAAGTTAAAGCTGAATCTAAATGACTCCTGACAAAAAACTACATTTGACAAAAAAGCCCAAGACAAAATCAGCTGCATGCAAAATTAGACAAAACAGTATGTTTCTTGACACAGAAGCTCAACTCTCAATACTATATGCATATGTGTACAACACGAGTAATGTAATGCCAGAGCTTTGTATGGGCTTGAGTAAAAGGTATATCAGTAGTTTTAAAGAGTCCACTTCTCTGGCAGCAGGATAGGAATATGGCCATCAGCATGGGGCCCAGGTTTGACGAACCGAGCGGGGATGATGTAGAATATCTGTAAGCTATTGCACTTTGTATGATGCCGTAAACACAGATTCAATTTTGCAAAATTGTGCACAAATTTAATAAATAAAGTATTCCATCCTTTGAGGGGAAAACATGTTTTTTTCTAGCACTTAAATTGAACTATCATGTTGACTGTTTGGCCTAATACACAGATCTTTATTGTCGAATGTCAGTTTTTATGTGACAAAACTGATTCAGAACTATAATTTGTTAACTATTTGTGCATTCTGAACATTATAAAGTGCGGAGTAAAGGGTAATTTGAGCCCATTGCATAACTATTAATAGTATTTAATTTTGAGCTCATTGCACAGCTATTAAGGTAATTGCATCTTCTGCTGACCAGACTATTGCTGAGGGGAAGAAACTTCTTCAGAGTAGTCACTTTGATCAAAATAATGGTTTATCCAGTTAGATAACAAACCAAAAAGCTAAATTGTTAGATGGTGGTCGGTGACACCCTCATTTAATGACAGTATTTTCTAAATAGGCTATTTTTTAGGCCTATTCCAGTATTATTTTAATGAGGGATTATAAAATAAATTGGACACTCTTTCATCTTGTGCCAGAAAAAAAAAGTGATTGAAAAAAATAATAGGCCTGGAGTGGAAGTTATTTAATGTAAAAGTTTTTAAGACAGGGAGTATCCAAATCTTGTTACCATGCAGCCATAGCAGAGTAAACAATTGACAAAACGGCAAGTGAACAAATGACAGCAACAAAAAGGTTCCCATCATGTAGGCTCCCAACAAATTGGCTCCCGTCATTTCGGCTCCCGATAAAAAAGCTCCTGTCTTTACAACTTCAGACAAAATGTCTTCCATTAGTTTGGCTCTCAACAATAGGTCACTTGTCAATAAGGTTTACGTAGAGACTCCGTCTCCAAGAGTAGGGGCCTCTACCAGTGGGATACCTTAAATACAAAGTATGCATCTGGCTGGCCATTTTTTCTTATTGTATATAAGAAATAGAACATTTTAAATCTAGATATGACTTCCATCTTTCTTCTTCGTTCTTAATTGTAATGTTGAAAGGGATTTCCTTCAACACAATTAAGTATACATGTAAACTTGTTATGAGCCATTAAGGCCGTTGACTCCGATTTCAGCCTGCTTTTCTTTTTGGATTTGCTTCCATAGCCTTTGTCCAACCAAGAACAATCTACAAAGCTGCAGTTGTTTAATTTTGGAGTTGTCTCTCCTAGAAGAATTGCTGTCCCCGGCTATCAAGCCTCATCTGCCCGAGGGTTTGAACTTGAGATTTTTTGGTTTAGCAACCATGAGCTTTACCGACTCGACCACACCAACCCCTTTGACTTCCATCAATTGAGTCGGTTGTGGGCTGTTCGAACTCAGTGTGTGGGGAGAGAGGTCCACCCTGTACATTTATCTGCAGTAGGTTATAAAAAAAAATGATGTTTATCCTATAAACATGTATATCATAAACTTCTGTGCTCTCCTTAAAGAAACAAAGCATAACAGTTGTAAGTAAAACATCAAAATTTAAAAACTAGTGAAATTGGGAGCCCATTTGTCAAGAGCATGTGTCTTGGGCACGAACGTGAAAAGACAATGAATAGTGAGCATCATAGGGCACTCGTGGTAGCTACCGTTACAGGTGAGCTTGGGGTGCTGCAGGTCGCTTGAGTGCAAGCGGATGCACCTGATTTGATTTAGTGAATATTGTAGCCCATTTTATCCATAGTGTATTGCACTCTTTAAAACCAAAGTTTTAGGTTTTAAAAGGCCCATTTAAAACTAAAAATTTACTTCATTTAATAATTATTTTTAATAAAAAAAATACTAATCCAAAATTTTATATTCTTTTAAGGTAGGTCTAGATCTAGATTATGTCTTCAACAGCAAATCATTCTCATTCTGTATTGTTTGTCTGTTTAGGTAAGTGTTGGTTACAATTGTTACACTTTTTAAAGCTTAGATATAAATAAATACTGAGATCAAATCACCAAGTGTTTTGCATTATCATACTAAAAATGAGATTTAAAAAGTGAAATTGCAAATTTATGTGTCATTTTCAAATTAATTCCATCTTTATGGTGTTATCAAAGATTAAGGTTAACCTCTGGCCCAAGAAGTCTTATTCTTATTTTGGCACAAACTAGTCTGATACAGAATAGGAACATATATTACTGGAAATATTACTATTATATATTCTATCACATCACCTGATTATAAATTGTGCTGCAGTATCTTTTAAGAACCAGAGTGGGGCACTTAAATAATGAATCTGTAATGCAGTGTCACTTATTTGTATTCTACTTGGACTTCATCAGTATGGAAGTGGAAGAATCAGAACTGATCTGTAGTGCCTTATGAAATATTTAATCACATTGTTCTTATAGTGGGGAAAATCTCAGTATACACCCATAAAAGTTCAACAATGAACCATTTTTATTTTAAGGCGATTTAGCTAAGCCAAGATGCCATGCATTGTATCTATTTTCATTTAAGGTGTACATTTTATTAACATCTTATATGTTATTATTTAGTTCTTTTATCCCTGTTAATCTAATTGCAAAATAATTTTTTGCTTAAGGTAACATATGTAGATCAACAATGGCTGAAGGAATTTTTCAACACCTTGTTCAGCAAAGAGGTTTAAAAGATAAAGTGAGTATCCTACCTTTACAGTTACTTCATTATTAAGCATTATTATTTTATGGTTACAAGAGGGTTTTTTTAACTCAAGACATCGGTTGAATGATTGATTGAGCGCTAATGATAGATGGAAATTATTTCTGAAAACGTGACATTATGTGTTTCTTTCAGACATTTGTTCCGAGGTTGGGGCATGGGGAGGTAACTTTAAAGCCACTACACATTATTTAATTAAGTACATGTGAAAGTATCCATTCGACAAAGACCATCAAAAATGTTTGTTTACTAAAATTCTAAAAATAGTATTGTAACATCAGTGTGCATGCAATTTATGTTTAATATTTCATTAAAATGGGTTGGACCTTCAAAAGGGGGATTTTAATATTTTAAACGTCTATTATGTGTGTGATTTAACATAGGCTCATAAAAGCTTTATTAATATGTGTCACTTTTGCAGTGTACTTTTTTAAATTAACAATTTAAAAAATATTTTGTTATCAAACATGTTTTGTCCATGTTAACAATAATGAACAAATGACTCATCAAACTTGACAGATGCCACTGGACCAACCTCCACTTTTAAACTTTTAGGAAATCATTTCAGGAAACTGTAACAACACCCGTCATAGCACAATATTTGTTTACCATTCAGTGTCTGGTACAATCTGTTTTATATATTTTAGTTTCTGATAATTTCATTTGTTGCTTATATCCAATTTCTAAACTCTCCGCTTACATTTTTAGTGGCTGATAGACAGTGCGGGTACAGGTGATTGGCATATTGGCAAGTCACCGGATGATAGAACCATGCAAGTTCTTAAGAAAAATGGTATTAAAGGATATAAACACAGTGGGAGATTGGTAACGTTAAATATTTATGTAATATAATAAATTGTTTATGTTTTCATAAAATTTGAATGCCATAGGATATAGTTGCATAGTTTAACATGAAAAGATATTTTGATTGCCTTATTTGAATGAACAAGTGTGTAGTTTTATTTATTCAAAAATTTATAATCAGCTTGGAAAATATGTGAAAAATAATGGAATTTAGATAAGTGTATTTTAGACATTAGGAAGGTCACTAGTTTGTGTAAGGTGTTTAGGAACACGTCTAATAAAATAGATTCTGTAATATCTGTTACAAAGTGATGATCTATGTAATATAAAACTGAACATGGCGTTTATTTCTACTTTGACCTAACCACCTATAATAATAAATGAATACATTTTTATCAAGAGGGCAAACTTGTGGACAGATTGTAATGTATGATAAATAAATGTCTGTAATTAAGAAACAGCACACTTATTGTAGGTTAGACCTCTTCAGTGTACTGTTTTTCATCAAAATAATTTTAGATCACGGAAGATGACTTCACAACATTTGAATACATCTTTGGTATGGACCATGCTAATATAACGTAAGTACAAAAATAAATTCATTTTTATTTACTATTTGCTTAATTTATAATAAAAAAAATTGTTATCAGCACTTTATTCTTTTCAGAGATATAAATGATATTGCTCCTGCAAATAGTACTGCTAAAATTTCACTTTTAGGAAGTTATGATCCACAGAAAGAACTGATTATAGAAGATCCATATTTTGCCTATGTAAGTTTTATGTTTATACAAGTCTTGTTTTTTTTTTCCAACCAGATTTATTTGTTCTGTTTATTACATATTTTTTATCCTTATTTTCAGAATCATAATAAAAATGCTTTCAATGAAGTCTATGAACAATGTATGAGATGTTGCACTGCATTTTTGGATTCTGTTAGCAAAGACTAGAATTTTTTAAAATAAAGCTTTTTATTTAAATTGCTTTGCTTTTTTTTAATTACATCATGCATAGGTTTCTTAAAGTAAATTCATTTAACAGTGTTTTATAAGGTTTGATGAAAAACACTTAATCTTGAATTTTAACAATTATATTTTTATTAGATTTCTCTGTTCAACAAGAATTAAATTAACATCCTAATTAACATGATAAAGCTTTCATAATGCTATGACTCCATGATTGTCAAGTTTTTCAAACATAAAAATGTTGTAAAGTAAATACATTGTTTCTGATAATGCTGTTTCAAATAAAATGATCTTAAAGGGGTTTAATAAATGAAATACAATGAGTAATTCATGAAAATACATCAACCATGCCTTTTTGAAAGTTACAAGTGATTTCACAAAAAAGGCAAATTTATATATTTTAAAAATTTATTTTAAAATATAAAAATGAACAGCCATTTGGATGTATAATTATGATAAATTAACCTGTATGGTTTGTTTCATGACTAGGAAAGTCTATTAAAAATATATAAATTATATAACATTACTAATCTAATAATGATTTAGTAAGCAGAATTGTCACTTAATTTTTTATAAAAAAGCTAATTTTCCAAAGTTGTATTGTGTATAAAGTATAATGCATTTAAAAAATGAAACTGATAAACAAAATTCTCACTTTTGATTATTCATAAGAACTATAAAATTTTGTATTTTAAATTTAGTTCTTTATTTAGTGCATAAACAAATCAATGAAGAAACAGTACTAGGTAAATACTGCACAGCACAACAGTATAAATCATCAGCAATGATAACATTTTCCATATAAGGAAATTAAATGCCATAGTGAATACTCTTTGATTAACCAAAAATTAGATAAATGGTTGAAAAGTATTCAGATGACTAGTGTTAAGATGTTAGATAAACAGATCTCATATGAATTTTTATTTAAACTTACTTTGATACAATTTTAAACTTGATTTTCTATTCCAAATTTTTATTTATACCCTGAAACTAAAAAAAAAAAATATAAAAGAACAAAGTTTTCACATCAAAAGTCAAGTGTCATGTATATTTAAAAATATTTTTTAAGAGATCAGTGATCTGTTCATTTTTTGTATATACCTTAGGCATCAAAAGCAAAAAACAATATGAATCTATCAAACCTTTTAAGTTCCAGTAAAAAAATATTCCAAGTGAACAATAGCAATAAAAATGTCTGGTTAAACCACAAGAAAAACAAATGGAAATTATATTTTTAAATGGGTATAATTGTAAAATCAATTGGAATGGTTAATTTTAAAAATTGTTTTGTCAGATACATTTAAATTTATATAAATTTTCTTTCAACAAAAAAATAATGTCAATAATTTAGACAAAAATTTAAAAAGCAGTGTCTGCTTTTCACTCATCACTATTGTCAAACACTGGAGAAATAGTCTAACCCTGCATCATTATAACATCCTCAAACGTAGGTCCTGGGTGGGGATGGACGGGTGTTAAATACACGCTCTAAATTAGCATTTAGAAACATTCCATTAGGATCCATCTTCTCACGAACAGCACAGAATTCATTCCATTTAGGGTACAACTTAGAGAATTCAGCTCCAGTAAAATTATGGTCCTGCATTGAAAATCATTAAATTACTTTTAGTAATGTAAATATAAGTTGCTTATCATTAGGAAACTAAAAGAAATTATTATAAGTATGCAATGGGTCACAAATTCAAATAGTTCTGGATAGGTGGAAACAGTTTGATTCTACATCCTTTGATAATAATCAGGGGCGGAACTACAGTGCCGCCAGACCCCGCAATGAGGGGGGGCCCGGGACGTTTAGGGGCCGGCAACCGACCATAATCAAATTTTATTTTACAGTTAAAAAAAAATAATCCTCTTGCATTTTTGACTCGATGGTTGTTTTGTAAAAAGAATACTGCAGCTGAGGTTGGATTATTTTTATTCTATAGACACCATCTCAAGTCCTCTCTCTCCTACAATCAAACACATGCTGTTGTCGGCAAAATTCTTTTGAAAATAAATCCATTGCGTGAAAGATACGCAAACGTTCAAACCACTTTCATGACTTATTTCCCTTTTTTAAATAGTCAAATATGTGTGCTCTTAAGCACCTTTTAATAGATTTGCACTAAACAAATTAAAAAGCAATAACTTCTCTTAATTATTATTTAAAAAAAAATACATATTAAAGAATGACAAAGCATATATATACATATATATACATACACATTATATATATATATATATATATATATTATATATCCAAAAATATCTTTGCGGGGTGGCCCTTTTTTTCTAGTTCCGCCACTGATAATAATGTTAATAATTATTTAATAGTTATTATTATTATACAAAATAATTTTTTTTAAAATTACCAACTTGTCATATAATAGCTGAACAGTGGGAACAGGACATTTCCCCCCTGTCAATTACCCCCCGGATATTTCCCCCCCGACATTACCCCCCAGAGTAATTACCCCCCCTGTCAATTACCCCCCTGTCAATTACCCCCCGCCCAGTAGGACATTACCCCCCCCCCCAGACAGGGTTAGAGTTAGGGTTAGGGTTAGGGCTAGGTTTAGGGTTAGGTTTAGGGTTAGGGTTAGGGTTAGGGTTAGGGTTAGGGTTAGGGCTAGGGCTAGGGTTAGGGTTAGGGTTAGGGTTAGGTTTAGGTTTAGGGCTAGGGCTAGGGTTAGGGTTTGGGTTAGAGTTAGAGTTAGGGTTAGGGTTAGGGCTAGGGCTAGGGTTAGGGTTAGGGTTAGGGTTAGGTTTAGGGCTAGGGTTAGGGTTAGGGTTAGGGTTTGGGTTAGAGTTAGGGTTAGGGCTAGGGCTAGGGTTAGAGCTAGTGTTAGGGTTAGGGTTGTGTCTAGCTTTGGTTTTGGTTTTGTGTGAAGTTTTAGGCTAAGGTGGATGCTTAGGTTTTGGTCTTTTTCTTAAGGTTTGGATTAAAATAGTATATAGGTATAAAATTCTAGTTAGAATTAGGATTTTAACTTGAGAGGGGGGGGGGTAATTACCCAGGGGGGTAATTGACAGGGGGGTAATTGACAGGGGGGTAATTGCTCCGGGGGGTAAATACGGGGGGGAAATGTCCGGGGGGGAAATATCCAGGGGGGTAATGTCATGTAGCCCTGAACAGTATAATTTTGAACACATGGTTAGTTATCAACAAAAATATTACATTTTTTCCCCCTTTTTTTTTCCTTTCATAAAAACAGCATAGAGAAAGTATTGGGATCATGCATAATAACTAAAAGGTATTTCAACGATTTCAGCAGTTTTACACCTCCATAATTTATCATATACAGAATATAAAGGATGTGGTGTTATTGTGCAAAAAATCTAAACTGAGATTTTGACAAATTTCAACGTTTTACAACATTCCAGGATCTGGAAAAACTTAGTTTTGCAATCCTGTCTGTTTGTGGGATAACTTGAGCACTGTTTCTGTTTGGTTGACAAAATCCCATAAATTACATCGAATTTGATGTTTTCTTTCAACTTTTAAGCCATTTCGATACATTGGAATTGGTGCTTACTCCACTTCCCATTTCTCAAAAGCCTATTACTTGAGTACCGTTTAAGTTAGGTGGAGGATATTTCAATTATGAAGTATTAGATTGTATGAGCAAGTTTCTTTCAACTTTTAAACTATCTCTGGTAACCTGAAGTGGTACTTTACTGTATTACTATAGGAAAACATTAACTTGAGTACTATTTTAGCTAAGTAAATGAAATTTCATACAGAAATATAATATCCAATACTTGGATTGCTTTCAATTTTTTAGTAACTCCAGAAAACTGGGATAAGTACTTTAATTTATTTTCCAGTTAGTAAAATAATGTTAATACAAGTACTGTTTCAGTTAGGTTGATGAAATTTTATACATAGGTATAAGATCTTATTCAAATTTTGAGTGATTTCTTAGGACCGTATTGGTACTTTAGATTTCTAAAAAGAAAAAGGTCACTTCTACCCGAATTATTTATTTCAAACTTTTCACATAGGTCAAGACTCTATGACAAAGCAATGTGACATTAAATGAGCCGTAATGAGATATTTAATTAACTTAAAAAATTAATGTTTCCTTTTTATAAACGCTTACTTTCGCAATTTTTTTTCTACTCAATTCGATTCTATTTAATAAATGTAAGTATTCTACAGCATGATTGTGCTACTGTTATATAACAATACACACAATTTTTAAAAATTCTAGTGAAATACTTATCCTAATTAAGTTTGTGTTGTATATAAATGTTGTAATACATACTTAAATAAAAATATTTTCATCTTACTTTAGCCCAGTGTGGCCTGCCTCCATGTTTTGCCACAATACTCTGATATTCATTCCAATAAGTTTCATGAGAAACTAACTTGTTAAATGGTCTGAAAATTATGTAGATTGTTTACTCAAGGTTATAATAAAGATAAGAAAGGATATTTACATTAAAACTTACAATTATGTAACTGCATTCAAATAAAACAATGTTTTACCTGTACATGATTATATTAATATAGCATGAATCTTGCATGTAACATGGACTTAGATAGATATTGTCAGCCTTAACAAATCTGACCTCTACAGGGAAATGTGCAGGGAAGTTATTCTTTTCTATCCACTCTTTTAATTCATAGAGTACAACAGCGACTTTGTTCCTTTAAGAAGACAAACAGCATTTATTCATAACAGCCAGCAATGAACATCCTTCACAATTCATACTTTAAAATACTCATTTCCATTTGTTAATTTTTAGCAAATTTTCAGCATGTCAAATTCGAAAAAAAATAAGCCAATTATTCCTTAAAACATTTAAAACGTACCTAGGAATAGCCCACTCCATTACATATTGTTTAAATAAACAATTAAAATTAAAGATTTTGTCACTGCGATCAATTCTTTCGACTGCTTTAGAGCACAAAAGGTTAAAATACAGCTTGTTTATACTTGGTACGAGTCTTGGAAAGAATGTGCTGTATAAAATAATAAATAGTTTAGCAAAAGGTTGAAGCTTATTTAATTACTAATATTTCAAATAATAATAATTTTTATAAAAAACTTTTATCTTCTATAAAGAATCAACCTAATCTTACCTAATCCATAACAAAACTTGGAGGAGATAATACCCAACACCCATTTCCCAAATCCAACTAGATTTCATTTGAGGCTCCTGTCATTAATACATGGTAAGATGGTAAGTAGAATAACAGAAATGTTAATTTCTAAAATTATCATTATTGTAGAGAATGGTAAAGCAAAGTAGAATCATGAATGTAAAAAGAAGTTATTTTCTTTTGTTACCTCATTTGTTCTAGTGGCATTAAAACAAACAACTGAATCTGTATAAGGGTACCAGAAAAAGCGAAAATGGTCTGAACTTGTTACATATACTTCAAGGTTCTCCAATACCTAAAAAAATAATTTTAAGAATGCAATCAGTTAAAGATAAACATTTGAATTTTTTCTGCAAATGAATATTTTAAATTTCTTGCAAGATGAAAATAATTTACTGAATATGTTCATTAAAAGAAAAGTGTTGTTTAAAATAAGTGTTCCCTCATTTATAGTGGAGTGGGGAGGTGTGTGTTTCATTTCAGGCCCACCCATAATATATGAATTTCTGCAAAGTAGGGACACTTTACTCATTTTAATATTTATACATTGTTTTAAGTCAATTTTTATGTATGTATTCATCTGCTGAATAAATAAGCTAGTTACCACAAGTGGTAATTTTATTATTATTAATATTCTTTTTATGTTAGAATTTTTTTTAAATTATATATTTTTATACATTTTTGGATTTTTAAATGCAAAAATTCATGAAATCTATACTTTATTGTAAAATATGAACCACAAAGTAGCAAGGAAACACTGTATCCACCCACATGCATATCTTACATTTTGTAATGAGTTAGGAAGCTGTTTGCAATGCAGTTTGAATGCTTTCTCGCACTGCAGAGTGACAGACAGAATTACTCCTAATGACCCCAAACTAAGAGCAGCAACAGATAACAGTTCAGGATTGTCATCTTTCCTTATAGCAATCACTTCACCAGAGGCTTTCATTAGTGTAAGGCCTACAACCTAATAAATAAATTAGGTTAATAAATCAAGAATTAGTTTAAACTCAAACATATTGGTTATTAATAATTAGAAAGAAAGCCACAACTGTAATACATTAGTAGCTTCAGAATGTTTTTCAACATAAATGTAATACATTTTGACTTTAATAATTTATAATAAAGCGGGAGTGATCTCCCCTAAACTTTCTTGTACATACATTATGTATATATTTCTTGTATATATTTATATAACAGTAAATGCAATTGTGAAATAGAAATGTTTTTATTATTAATTTTTTAATATACTTAAATTTTTAAAAATAAAACAGAATCACAAAAAGCCAGACCCCCCCCCCCCTAAAATGACATCACACCTCAACCTACAACCCCCCTCAAAATAGCAGTTGAATTTTTTTAAAACATCGATATCTTTCCAAAATCTTGTCTAAACTATTACAATTTATTAAAACAGTTATCTAAAACGCGAAATAATGTCTAAAATTCGTTTTCTAACATTGCTTTTTAAAAATCAAAAATGTGATGTCGCATCATCTGATCCCCCCCCCTCCCCCTCATCACACATCGTCACAAAATTACGGACCCCCCTCCCCCCTACGAGTGTGACGTCATTTATGGATGACCCCAAACTGAAACAGTGCTCAAGTTATTTTGTTCCCAAATAAATAGAAAAATACTTCTAGTTACCGGAAATCTTTCATAAGTTGTCAGAAATCTTCGCCTACAATCTAATGCTTATATTTGAAATTTAGTCCACCTCAATGTAAAGATACTGAAATTATAGGGTTTTGAGAAACTGGAAATCGCTCAAAAGTTGATCGAAAATTACAAAATAACTGAAACGCTACTCAAGTTATCGTGTTTACAAACAAACACAGACAGACAGGATTGCAAAACTTAGTTGATCCTGTACCGGAAGGTTGTAAAACGTCAACATTTTCAAAATCTCAATTAAGATTTTGTCACAATTATAATACATCCTTTATATTCCATAAGAGGTAAAGTAGGGAGGTGTAAAAAGGACAAAATTGTCAAAATTTCATTTAATTTTGTTCACTATTACAGTACTCTCTCTATACAAGAAAGTACTGTATATTTAGACTTCTATTTTCTATATCCACCAAGCAAAAAAATATTTTTTATTACATAAGAAGAGATGATTCCAAAATTGGCTCCAGTTCCATGAGTACCAGTGCTGATAACCCCAGCTGCAGTTAAATCACAAACAGCTCCTTGCCTAAAAAAATGATTTGTATTAACAGTGTACAAAAATTAAATGGTTTTTAAAAAATTATTCTTTTCTATTTAAGTGGTCTTGTTGGCTATTAACTATTATTATTGTAGATTGGGGAGTAAGCTAAATACCTAGCCTTAAACTATGATCATGACAGGAGTCAGTAATATTATTTTTCGCTACCATTTAACCTTCCACATACCATTAAATCTTCATTCAAGATTTCATAATTAAAAAATTGAAACACTAGCCATAATTAAAAAGGTAACATATAAACCAGCAAGTAGGCCAAAACAGCTTGGAGTTTGTTTACGTTAGATAGATACATGACCTAGTACTAGTGTTATTAATATTTCTATTCTCTGCCTCAACATCACAACATAAATGTATTAGAAGTTTTAAAGCCTGAGATGAACTTTTTAAATGGTGATATTTAGAGACAATTACTCACACAGACAACGCCATATCATTGGCAGGTAGAATATTATCATTTAAATCTTTAAGTAAGCATCCACCCTGTACTGTCACTTGAAGCATTTCTTTGTCAATCTGAAATCAAAAGACTCTTGATATTACATGCTACAAAACTTTTGTTTTCTGATTAAAGAATCAAGTATAAAGACCAATAGATGATTCTTACAACTGACGTTTTACTTTCTTTTATACATAGTATAGAGGAAGTATTGTAATCGTGCAAAAAATCAAAATCAAGATTTTCACAGGACGTTTTACACCTGTACTGTTTCAGATAGATACATGAAATTTCACATGTAATTAAAAGATCTAATTCTTCGCCTTCTGTAAAATTTTGTGTAATTTCCGTTTACACTATTTCCGATTTCTCAAAAAAACGCATATAAATTAATAAAGTACAAATAGTATTCCGCATTATTATACACATATTGTTTGCCATTCACTTTGTGCGCAATTCTTTTTTCCTACAAGATTCTATTCTATTTTAAAAAGTTTAAGTAATTAAAAATTGATTAAAAATCATGTCTATTTCCCGAGTTGCCCCCCCCCCCCCCCTTAGTGTTATATAAGAATATTCAAGAAAGTTTAGGGGAGATCACTCCCGGTTTATTTTTGTTAAGAGTTCAAAATTGTTGTAAAATTATGAATGGTAATATTTTATTTCTGTTTGAATTTATTTGCCCTTGTTTACATACAAAGCAGTGCCCAGGAATGTTATAAAATGTGACTGTGTATAATTTGGGTTACTTCTTAACAATATCAATTTTGTTGATATTTAGAATAGTTTGGGTTACTACATACAATTAGGGTAAATGTTTTGCTACCTAGAAACCAAAGAATGATAACCAATACTTAATTTCAACAGTCATTTCACAATTGTCTTAGTCACTTTTAATGGTTTAGAGTCAGTATTTTCAATCACTTCACACATTCCTCTACAATGGCATAAATGTCTAAATCATAAACCAATTAGAAATAGCAATAGTTCTGAAAAACTCTAGACATTAAAAATCTTGAGTAGTTTTATTAAAAGTTTTTTTCAGGATAGTCTACAGATTGGATTGGTTAACATTAACAGCACAAAATGAAACTAAACCATCAATTAGCTGGAAATATAAACACATTTTGACAAGTGATTTTTTAAGTTGCATTTTTGTTTAAATTTTTTTTTTAATTTTAATACACATTTGGTCATGCCAAATTAATGTCTTGCTCTTAAAACCATTTTAATCAGAAAAATAAATTTTCAAAAGTTTAGAAACATTTTTTGCCAAAGCATTAACTTACATTCAAAACTTTATTATATCGACAGAGACTGATCATAAAATCTGTGGTACATGCTAAATCAGAAGGTGAATGTCCAAAGCCAACCACTTTAACTTTTTTCCCTTTTTTTTGAGCAAAAGCAAGAATCTGTGTAAGACAAAAAAAATTAAATTAAAAATGTATTCTTCATTTGTTATGATTCATACTACAAAAATGTAATAAACAATTCTTACCTTTCTAATCTCATCCTCTGTTTCTGGTTCAAAAAAGAGTTCAGGAGAACATGTATAAGTTTTTGCCCAATTTGTAAACCTTTTGCCTGACTTCCCTAAAGTCTAAATTAAAGGGGAAATTTTTATTTAATGATGTAAAAACAGGCAATTTTATGATGATAGTAAAAATAATAGAAAAAAGTTTGTCTTAAATTTCTTATTATTATAAATAGGAAAGGTTAACATTCAATCTATGATTACTCAGGGATAAAAGGTCTGATTACTAAGGTCAATCAAACCCCCAAACCCAATCTGAATATATAAAAATGTACTTTAAAAAAATAATTAATTAATAATTTCATTATACTTTTGCTTGCACTTTTATCACTTTGATTGGGTCAAATCTCACAACTCAATTTTTTACCCAATTATAATGCAGTCACTTCATTTCCATACAAATGTGTGCACAATGACAACATTTTTCAGTGCATTTAAAAAGTTTATTAATAAACATTTTTATATTTGCTTTATTTTGGGCAAAACTGTTCAACAATCTTCAATTAAAACAGTTCTAAAGGTTTTAACTATTGTAAAAAAAAGTAAAGCCTGTTGTTTCTGCTTATTTGGCCACTATTTTAAAGCTCAAACTTAGACAAAAATAATACAGAAAATCAGAGGCAGTGTTACACCATTTGACGCCATATGACACAATATAAATAAAATGTAAACAAGTACCCAATGCCAGTTATAATCTAAATCACCATTTTAAAAAATATTGACAGCATACAGCTACCACAAAATCTTCCTCACTTTCCCTGTATACATAATTATAATATTAATAGACTAAAAAATTGGCCTGTTTATTTTCCTTTAGAGATAATAGCTGCACTTAATGTGACAAGTGTTACAAACATGATCTTTTTTAGTGTGTATGTCAGCAGCATGTAAATGTTTGAGAATTCCTGACCACAACTGTCAATGTGTACTGTTTGGTGCAACACTAAATAACACCAGATATTAATTAAAAATTAGTCTTTAATATATTAAAACTTTATCAAGATAAATCTTACCCGTATATCATTAACCATTTTAGAAAACCTTTTATAGTGACTAGTGACCTGAAAAATTGAAAATGTTATTTATAAAAAGTAAATCAAGAAAAATATTTGGTACACAAATACAGCTTTTTGTCAAACACTGATGAGGTTTTAATTTAAAACTATGCAACAAAATGTAACGGATGAAGCTACATTTTACAACACCTGTTGAAACTAAACATTTGTAATAAGTAAGTCTAATAATAAGTTACTAACCAAAGACCTACTGATTAGTTTATTAATTGGCTAGAATATAGATTCAAAATTTAAATGTTAACACATGTATGTATGCAACACATACACTCAGAGGCGCAGCGAGGGAGGGGGTGTGGACCGCACCGGGTGACACCATTTAGGGGGGTGACACCAAGGCAAAAAATAGTAAAATATATAGAGAAAAATGATAATTTAACTTTATTAAATGATTAATTAGAGTTAATTAAATAATTTTTTAAGAGCAAAGTGGACAAATGGGGGGGGGGGGGGGGGGGGAAGGGTGACACCATGACATAAACCTGCTAATGATAAAGAAAACATGCAATATCAAGCTGAAGTTATAACCGAATAAAGATACAAATCGTTAGTATTATCTGAGCACAGTTTAAAGCAATCACTGTGGGGTGACGAGGGGGGGGGGGGAGAGAAACGGTGCAATATATATGCCTGAGGAAAACGGTTTGGCTGAGAATCGTAATAAGCTATATGTTAATTCATGTATGGGATAAGGGTGGGGGGGGGGGGGGGGTAAAAAATTAAATACATCCAGCAGGAAAAAATATTTGAATACATATACACATGCGTATGCACATACTTACAAGTGTGTATGGAATATATGTGTATGTATATATATATATATATATATATATATATATATATATATATATATATATATATATATTCCGGGGTGGGGGGGTGGCACCATAAGGTGCCTCACTGGGTGACACCCAACCTTGCTACGCCACTGCATACACTTTGAAGTGATTCTAAAAATTAACTTTCAAAGCACACTCAATAACACAGTTCATTACACAAATATAATAAGCATCAGGGTGAAATAATTAAATACAACCGCTTGTTACTTATATTCCTTCTCAGGTGTTCAGGTGATACAAACATAAAATTTTGAAATCATTTCAAGTAAGAGTATGTAGCTTTATACAGCTATAGTAAACAATTGCAAAGCTAACATTGGAAAAAACAAGTTAATTAAAAAGTCTAGTGACATTTAAGCGCAATTTCCTTATGTTATCTAAAAATAGCTGTCGTAGCGTAAATCAAGAGCAGGGTTAGTAAAACCATTGGTTAAAATACATGTTTTATTTACAATAGAGTTACATGACTAAAAACCATTGCGCGCCTAGCTACTAAACGTGATGACACAGCCATTGAACGTGATGGCGCAGCTATTGAAGGTGATGACGCGTGTGGTGTGGTTGGATAAAATGCCTACTAATTCGGTCCAAATTTTAATTAATTCAAAAAAAATTTTTTGTCCGAACGAAAGGATATTTTTGAAAACTTTCTTCGGCAATATTGTTCTAAATTATGGCAGGAATCGATTGGTAGATGTTTCAAGTCGCTAAGTGGTCTGGTTGCCGAGATATGGGCCAAAAACTGCATTTTTTTTCGAGGTTTTTTTTTTGGCTTTTCTGGGAAATCCATGAAAGAAACCCGGAATTTTTATGGCCTATGTTCATCCTCGTAACTTGCTTAACATAATTGCTTCGTTGAGGAGGAGATACGACTTAAAGCTTGATATCGATCGGATGAATGGTGTAAAACTGCAATCGACTTTTATTTTTTATATATTGAAGAAAAAACAAATCACACCCTGCTGGGGCGCCACCCCTGCGAATTTAAAATTATTTTTTCCGCAGAAACCTCCCCAGGAATATTCTTAACTACTTCCCAAAGTTTCACTGCAATGTGATAAGAGGTGTGGTAATGCATAAAAGACACACACTCATTGCTTTTGATATACCGATGATATACCGATGGTCTCGGTCGCAAACCGTCTAACTCCAAAAATGTAAATTTTACAGGAGAGACAAAAAACTGATTATTTCTTTGCTGATCGCTCTAATACAAATTTTTTTTAATGATATGTGCGAAGAAACTCTCTACCGACTATACTGTAGTGTTTTAAAATGAGTTTTGTTAATATTTACAAAATTATAGCAGGTTTTAAAAGATAGACCGTTTGCTCGGTCTAAAATTCTCGCTGCCAAACCGTCTATCTGTGCGAGCGCAGACTTAGCCGTTTTGAACCGAGAATTTAGGTCTCAGCCGCGTTCGTTCGTTTTGTCCAATGAACGTGATTTAGTTATGTTTTTGCTTTTAAGTTATAATTAACACTTCATAACATTTAGATTATAGTTTTGGGCTCATATTTTAATAATTTGAGTTTATTCTACTTTATGGGGTCGGTTTAATTTTAGTACAGATGTTTTAGTATGGCTTTATCGCTTTCGACTGTTTATTCATTATGTCTGTAATTAGCACTAGACTTGTTAACTGTTGAAGGTTATGCTTTATTTATTACATCATTCTATTCTCACAATAATATTTTACTAAATCTGATGGGTGTTGGGTTTGTAGAATGATAATAATAAAAAAAACACCTTATTGTCAGATATATTATGAATGAGACATAACACATTAATCACATTAATAATGGCTTAATGTTTACTTATTTTACAAAATGTAACAAAAAAAAATGTGTTTATTTTTTAAATTTATTCCTCAAATAAACGTCGCATGAAGAAACATTAAAATGGCAACATATTTTTAGAATCAGGCAAATCATCATAATGATGTGTATTCATGACTTGCTTTTAGGTGCTCATATATGACAACTTTTTTTTTCTGCTCTTGTACAACTTGTCAGGGGCTACAGATGAGATAATAATCTTACGACCCTAGCTTAGCAATTGACAGCTATCTGCTAATTCACTGTGAAGTAGATTGTAGCATCAGGGTTGTACTGCAGTGCAAGAATATCTGTCGCATTGATTTCTTGATAGGTCTGACTGGTCTTTTGAGAACGGCTGGTCTCTTGTATGGCAAGACTGGTCTTTTTTTAGAGAGGCTGGTGTCTATTGTCTGTTAAGTGAGGCTGGTCTATTTTATGTTACGACTGTTCTGTAGAGAAAGGCTGGTGTCTTGTTTGGTAAGACTGGTGTGCTGAGAGAGGCTTGTCTATTGTATGATAAGACTAATCTTTTGAGAGAGGCTGGTTTCTTGTATGGTAAGAATGGTCTGTTGAGAGAGGCTGGTATCTTGGAGGGTAAGATTGGTCAGTTGAGAGTGTTTGGTCTTTTGTATATTACGACTGGTCTGCTGAGAGAGACTGGTCTCTTGTATGGTAAGGATGGTCTTTTGAGAGAGGCTGGTCTGTTGAGAGTTGCTGGTGTCTTAGAGGGTTAGACTAGTTTGTTGAGATATTCTGGTGTCCTGTAAGGTAAGATTGGTCATTTAAGAGAGTTTGGCTTTTTGTATGTTACGACTGGTCTGTTGTGAAAGGCAAGTTAAGAGATGCTGATGTCTTATATGGTAAGATTGGTCTATTGAGAGAGGCTGGTCTATTGAGAGAGGCTGGTTTGTTGAGAGAGGCTGGTTTGTTGAGAGAGGCTGTTCTTTGTTGAGAGAGACTGTTTGTTGAGAGAGGCTGGTCTGTTGAGAGAGGCTGGTCTGTTTAGAGAGGCTGGTCTGTTGAGAGAGGCTGGTCTGTTGAGAGAGGCTGGTCTGTTGAGAGAGGCTGGTATTTTGAGAGAGGCTAGTCTGTTGAGAGAGGCTGATTTGTTGAGAGAGGCTGGTGTCTTGTATGGTAAAACTGGTCTGTTGAGAGAGGCTGGTATGTTGAGAGAGGCTGATATGTTCAGAGCCTGGTCTGTTGAGAGAGGCTGGTATGTTGAGAGAAGCTGGTATGTTGAGAGAGGCTGGTATGTTAAGAGAAGCTGGTATGTTGAGAGAAGCTGGTCTGTTGTGAGAATCTGGTCTGTTGAGAGAGGCAGGTCTGTTGAGAGAAGCTGGTCTGTTGAGAGAATCTGGTCTGTTGAGAGAGGCTTGTCTGTTAAAAAAGCATTTACTAAAGACTAACTATGTCGTTGAACATGTACGCCAAACATTTTGTAACCTACCATAAAAAACATTTCTTTACATGTAGATAAAACCTCAATCTAAAGCTAGTAGTGAATTAAACATATTTAAATTTATTACACAATCTTGTAGGAATATAATTCGAAGAATATTGTTTTGATTTCTATTTAGATTCTAGAATAAAGATCTAGTTTCAAAGGATTATATTAGCCTAAAAAATTGTAAACAAATCAGTTTGGTTATTGGAAATCTGGAAATATGCTGTATTAAACAAATACTATTTGTTTATTATTCTTTAAAATGATAAAATGTAATAGAATAGCTGAACATAATTAATCAAATATCCTTACCTATAAGTAATGTGACTGCTGTGCTGTAAAATTGTGTGATTGCGGTGTGCGACTACGTTTCGGATCAAAAGTGTACTGACAAATATAGTGATATTCGTTTTGCGCCGAGATTTTTAGCGCTTGAAATAATAGGCGGTTTGTTCAAATGATTATATCTCAATAATCATTCTACAGATTTCTATAATATTTTAACCCTTTATCTACTGACGGTACTTATAAGTACCACTTTAATTAGGTGCCTGTATTATTTTTAATTTAATACGAATTTTAAAATTTCTTGAGGTAATTAATAGTATTATCTCCCCTGAGTCGCGGTAGTTGGAGGTATCGATGGTTTTTGAAAATTTCTGGTGTGGCGCCATTTTCAATGTCTTGCTGTATCGGTAGTTCACAATTGTTCTGTACAGTTCTCACACACGTTCCTGATTTCCCTTTGTTTTACCTTATTTTTCAAGTTTTCAACCCCAAATATTTTTTATTGGCACCTTCAATAGTCAGGGAAACGCGTCTAACTTCTAGTTTTACAATTTTTATCAAATTGTCTATGTAATAGATCGATGTTTACAAGTGGACTTATAAGTACCGTCAGGGCACACGGTCATTTTTTAGGATTTCTAGAAAATGGCGAATTTTCGATGTGAAGTGACTTAAATATTATTTTGATAATTAATTATCGAAATGTACTCAAAAAATGATATTTACACATTTATAAGAATGTTAGCATATGTTTTACCATAGAAATATTGTAATTACATGTTGATTTCTAGTAGTAAAAGAATAACAATAATAAAGGTAGCAGTTGCAGGCTCATTTACTAGGTTTAGTATACTTCATTTGTATACCAAAGCCTAGTTCTAGTAGTAATATTTAATTTGTTAGTTATATTTACTGCAATAAACTGTCTTGCCTACAATAACTAGCATTTACGTACTGTATACATGTAGACTAGTAATACCCCATATTTCTGCATATAGTATAGATCTATATGGTACATTTTAATCAGCAAACAGAAAACAGTAGGCCACTACGACTATCCTAAACACATTGAGCTCACTTCTATTTATGAACTTTACACTGTAGTGTAGACTTGTATAATTGTAGCCTACTAGAATGTTATGACTAGTATTACCAGTAGGCACTAGTTGTGTGCTGAATGACTAGGCTTTTGTTTGTTCATGCGGCTCATTATAATAGCTATTGGAAGCTTCCAGAAAAAGCATGTTCAGTCCGGCAACCGTTGCTACACCAGAAAGACCACAATTAAGAATGAGGGAGCATGACATGTTGGCAACTTTTGCTGTGTTTGAGGTCTAAGATGTGTTCCGATAGAAAATTCAGTAAAAATCGTACTCAAAATACACTTTTGTTCTGTATTTATGTGTGAAAATTACAAAAATGATTTTTATAATCATTGCCATGTTATTAGTTACTAAATGGTATCGTATGTTCCTGTTTTGTAAAAAAAAAATTTTTTTGGAAAAAATGCCCTACATTCCTGACGGTACTTATAAGTACCAATATATGTTTGGGCCATTAAAAATTTATGAAACGAAATTTCCTTCGACATATGCTTTAAATGTGCCAAAAGCAATATGATAACACATTGATTAAGAAAAAATTTCATTCAGAACTTAATTCCGTAAATAAAGGGTTAAGGCATTATGGGGAATAATACTGGCTTTTGATTTATGTAAAAAAAAAAGAAAATAGATTTTTTTAGTTAGACGGTTTGCGCCCGAGACCATCGATATATAGATAGAAGATAGATAGATAGATGGCATTGTTTACAAAGTTTACAATTAAATAATTCAGTTTTAGAAAACAAGGTCACGTGTCTAAGAATATAGGATTGGTAAAGCATGGACGAAACCGTCCTAATGTATTTCGTCAGATTTTATTTGTCTTTTATGCATTGCTACACCTTTCAACTCATCACCATGAAACTTTGGGAAGTTGTTGAGAATACTCCTGGGAAGGTTTCTGCAGGAAAAAATTTCAATTTCTTACGAGCAGCGCCCCGGCAGGGTGCGATTTGACGCCCGGGATATCATGGTAGCACTATGACTCATATGTTCGCTTTAAATATTGTGATAGAATATGGATAAGAAGTAGTATTATAGTCATTCATTAAACTCATAAACTGGGTACGATTTGCCCCAGGCTATCCTGGGACTTTCTATAACACGCTAGTATTTTATAAAAAAAATATCTGAAAATATACTCATATTAAAGCCCTTTTCCTTGGTTTCCTCTTCCGCACATTACTAGCTTATGTGCAGATGCAGCCTCAGATCACCAACTCGTGGTTGCAATACTAAAATTAAAACTAAAATCCTACAGGGATCGAGCTGATAAACCGCACTTTAAATTCAATACAACATATCTTAGGTGTCCAAAAATAAAGGAAGACTTTAACTGTGCAGTAAAAAAATAGATATGAAGCACTCTCCAGCCTGGCAGAGGAAACAGTAGAGCAAAAATGGCTAGGAATACAGGAATTATGGAAGTCAACATGCACTGACATATTGGGGAGAAGAAAAAATGAACAAAAAGAATGGATCACAACAGAGACATGGGCCAAAATTGAAGATAGAAAAGAGATAAAGCAGAAGATTAACAAATGTAAGGATGAAAAAGAGAAAATAAACCTCAGAACACATTATTGTGAAGTAAATCGCATGGTCAGGAAAAGTGCAAAAGAAGACAAAAGACAGTTCATACAGGAGATGATAGAGGAGGCAGAAACTGCGGCTCGACAAGGAAAAATGAAGAGGCTCTATGAAGTAACCAGGACACTATCAGGCAAGAACATTAATCCCAACAAACCAGTAAAGGATAAAGTAGGAAATATCTTAACAAGTGACAAAGAACAGAGAGACAGATGGGTACAGCACTTTTATGAGATTTTAAACCATCCTCTTTCATCAAACATCCCCGATATACCACCTGCAAATCACCTACTAGATGTGTGTACAGATCCACCCACAAAGTTAGAAACAATAAGAGCAATAAAAAACATGAAAAATGGCAAAGCAGCTGGCCCGGACGGCATCCCACCAGAGGCACTCAAGGCAGACCCAGCCATATCAGCAGACACACTACATCCTCTACTTAAGCAGATTTGGGAAGAAGAGATAATCCCATCTGACTGGAAACCGGGATACCTGATAAAACTGCTAAAGAAGGGAGACCTGACACAATGCAACTGGAGAGGGATAATGCTTCTTTCAGTTCCAAGTAAGGTGCTGACAAGAATCATCCTAGAGAGACTTAGAGATGCCTTGGACAAAAAGCTGAGACAAGAACAGGCTGGTTTTCGTCAGGACAGGTCATGTACTAACCACATCGCCACGCTGCGCATCATTATCGAACAGTCCCTTGAGTGGCAATCCCCCTTATACATGACTTTTGTCGACTTCGAAAAGGCGTTTGACAGTGTGAATAGAGATGCTATCTGGAAGTTAATGAGCCACTATGGAATACCCAAAAAATTTATATCTATCACACAGAAACTATATGAAGACTCCACCAGTCAGGTAATACACAAGGGAAAGCTAACGAAACCATTCACGGTGACGACGGGAGTAAGACAGGGATGTATGCTATCGCCAATGATATTCTTGATGGTAATCGACTGGATCATGCTGAGGGCCACAAAAAACGACACAGGAATCCAGTGGAGTTTCACAAAAAGGTTGGAGGATCTTGATTTTGCCGATGACATCTGCCTACTTTCTCATAAGCATCAACACACGCAAGCCAAACTAAATCAGCTGTCTGAAGAAGCCTCCAAAATTGGACTAAAAATCAATAAAAATAAAACAGAGGTCATCAGAATCAATAACAGCCAGGACCTGCCCATACAGCTAAATGGAGAAGATTTACGAGAAACAAACACATTCACGTATCTGGGAAGCGTGATCAATAAAGACGGGGGAGCAGACGAGGACATAAAATGCTGTATCAACAAGGCTAGATGTGCCTTCAACTCACTGCGCCCGATGTGGAGGTCCACGGCCCTGTCACTCCGGAGCAAAATTGGGATTTTCAACACAAATGTTAAGGCAGTGCTACCCTATGGCTCGCAGACCTGGAGGGTTACGAAGACAAATACTGATAGGCTACAGGCGTTCGTAAACAAATGCTTACAACATATACTCAAAATAAGATGGCCAGACAAAATATCAAACAAAACCTGTGGCAAATTTTAAAGCAACAGCCAATAGAGAAAGACGTCAAGGCCCGTAAATGGGGATGGATTGGACACACGCTAAGAAAAGAAAAAGAAAACATCACAAAACATGCATTGGACTGGAATTCCCAGCGGAAAAGGAGGGTGGGCCGGCCAAGGAAAACATGGAAGAGAACGGTTGAGGAAGAGGCGAAAACAGCTGGGCTTTTATGGGCACAGATTAGAGGAGCAGCCCAAAACCGAGTCCGCTGGAGATCTGTGGTTGCAGCCCTTTGCTCCCCAGGGGCCACAAAGGAGTGATGATGATGATGAGTTCTAGATCTTTACTAGCTAAATCATGGACATATTTAAATTATATGCCATACTAATACTGTCTTCTATACTCAGTATCTGAGTTCAGTTTAGTAAAAGTTTAGTTTATGTAATGTTAATAAATAATGTAGGGCGTAAGCCTAAGAATTAGAATTTAGCTCTACTGAGTCTACTGATTATATGATAGGAGGAGATAATAAAAATAGTATTATATTATATTAGTATTAGGCCTATAGGGGACTATAGAATAGTAAGACTCCAGACTACTTTAGTTAGTACTTTTGTCTTTAACTAGAATCTAGGCCTACACAACTACACATTAATGTGACATTAATGATTATTACTTATTTATTATTTATCTCACGCTGCCTTTTAAACTTAAACTTATTTAATATTTACTTATTATTTACTTATAGTTTATAGATCTATTTAGGCCTAATTATTTTAATAAGTTATGTTCTCAGTTTGTTTTGATGTGTAGAACTTAAAGTTTAAACTTACCGACCAAAATCAATCGTTTTCGATTTAGATCACTAGAATGACTAGATTCTAGGTGTATTTTAGAAAAACTAGTTATGAAACTCAGATCTAGCAGACACCGCACTTCCTCCAGTATCGGGGGCGCCAGATAAAATAATCTAAAATAAAGATCTAGAGTCTAGGTCAATTTAAAACAAATCGGTCGACGTGTCCGTGCCTTGACCTAAGAAGTAGATATACTTACCTAGATTAGGTCAGAACAAAGGCGTAGATCTATATTTCAAATAATTCTTGGCTGGTTCGAAATATATTGAATCCTCAGACCCTTACTTTTTATCTTGTAAAGTAAAGTTCCCTTTTCAAACCTGACGGTCCATGGGGCAAATGAAGTAGTTCATCTCCTAGTTTATGTGTAACCTCGGAATAAGAAGGGATAGTGCAGCACTATTATGCAGAGCCCCCTTTACTCTCCCTAACGTGAGTTAGGTACCAATCAGAGCTGGGTGGACTCAGGGACGTACTTTTGACTTGAACCCAGATATTTTGCCTCATTTCTAGAATCATTGGTGTGTTAATATCAATGTCACCTTTCATTAGAACTTGAGTCATTTAAATGTAAGCTATGTCGGCACTACATAGTCCATTGTCATGGGTCGCATGTTTGTCTATACTATACTACAACCCAGACACCACAAGGTATGCTGCATATGAAATCTTGAATGTACGTTGATCACTTTCCTCTTAGCTTGGCGGCAGGCCACCACTTCGGAGTATTTGGTGGAGGGCTCAGCCCCCACCACCCGAAGAAAGTCTACCTACACCCCCCCCCGCACAGAAACACATAGAAAAATGTCTGAAAGAAACGCACTGCACCGGTTACACTAGAGATATGGGTGACCACAGTGTAATTATAAATGCCGTGATTTATTTATATGCTGGCCTGGTTTTTGTTTTTTTAAACTTCTAACAAACCGATTTCTTTAACACTTGACAAGTAGGCCAAGACCCAATGACAATGCAATATGACATAAAATTTGAATCAATTGACGCAGAAGTGAATAGTCTCGAATTTTTGTCGAATGTTGTATAAATATTGTTTATGAAAAATAAATGTGGTCATACAAACTTTATTGTGAGGTTTTTTTCGGACTGAAGATTGGATATATTTGATGTTTATAGTATTTTCAGTGACAAAACAATTTTTTTTTAAATAAAATAAAAAGAAACAGAAAACAATTTGGTTGTTTTCATTTTATATTTTTATCACAGAAAATATAAACGAAAATGGCAGATCTAGGTTAAAAAACAAATTATCCGCAAAGATGTTAGAACAAATTACTATGAAGTGGGGTTTTCAGAAGATTATCACGGAGTTCTTGTACAGCGAAAAAAAATTCAAAACCTTTTTGGTAAAATATAGTACAACTTTGTTTGATGGCTTCGGGGTCAGTTATCTTGACTTTGTCTTCTTTGCTCCTTATGGAACATAGGGCCTCTACCATTTCCTTCCATTGTGTCCGATCCTCGGCCATTAATTTTGCAGTGTCCCAAGACATCCCTATTGGCTTCAGTTCTTTGAGAAGACTCCGCCTCCAGTTCTGTCTTGGGCGCCCTCTGATCTTCCGCTTTCCCTGGGAGTTCCACTCAAGCGCTTGGCGTGTCACATTTGGGTGAGCCTTTCGCAATGTGTGTCCCACCAAGCGCCACTTCCTCCTTCTTATTTGCACCGTCATAGGCTCCTGCCTTGCTTTTCTCCATAATTCTATGATCCGCACTTTGTCATGTCTCAAAATATTTCTAAGGCATTTGTTCATGTGCTTGCCTAGGTGACTCTCCATGTCTCTGCTCCATAATATAGCAAAACTGCCTTGACATTTGAGTTAAGTATCCTAATTTGCTGATATTGCCATAATATTGCTGCCAAAAGTCGTCCATAAATGACGTCACACTCGTAAGGGGGAGGTGGGGTCCGTAATTTTGTGACGGTGTGTGATGAGGGGGTGGGAGGAAGGGGGTTCAGATGATTTGACGTCACTATTTGCATTATAAATAAACAATGTTAGAAAACGAGTTTTAGCCGTTATTTCGCGTTTTAGAAAACGGTTTTAATAAATTGAAATATAAATTGATCAAAATACTCTGTTGACAGAGTTCTGACAAGATTTTCGAAAAATAACGATGTTTTAAGAAAAATTAAACAGCAATTTTGAGGGGGGGGGGGGGTTGCAGGCTAAGGTGTGACGTCATTTTAGGGGGGGGGGGTCTGGCTTTTTGTACGACGTGTGACGGAGGGGAGGGGGGAGGTAAAAATCGTCAAAAAAAGCATGACGTCATTTATGGATGACCCCCCAAGGTAGACAAACTCTTCCACATAATTTACATGTCTTCCATCTATTGTCACTGGGGCCTCCTGGTTTTTGTTGATTCGCATTACCAGTGTCCACCCCCTCCCCCTGATAATTTCAAGGGACCCAACCCCCCGGGGAGAAAAATGTCTGAAAGAAGCACTGGTCGCATTTATAGATCATACACACTATAAAGATAGACACTACTTCTATTAATATTATCTAGACCCGTTTCCTACTTTAGCCGCTAAACCTCAATCAGGCAGATAGTGTTTTTTTTCTGACTTTTTTTTATCCGTGGGAGGGGGGGGGGGGTGACACTGGTAAAAGTATATATTTTCTATATAAATTAATTTTTAATTTTAGTATTGCCCATACTGACAAAATTCTTTTTTGCTTTTAGAAAAGTCAAAATAAATTATAATTAGGTTAGGGGTCATCCATAAATGACGTCACGCTTTTTTTTGACGATTTTACCCCCCTCCCCTCCGTCACACGTCGTCACAAAAAGCCAGACCCCCCCCCCCCCCCCAAAATGATGTCACACCTCAACTTAGGGGTAGAGTTAGGGTTGGCGCTAATGTTGGGGTTAGGTTTAAAATCAATATTTGTATTTTTTATCCATACCAAAAAAAACGAAACACGATTTCGGCAGTACGGATATGTCAGAAATTTCAGTGGTTTAATTTCGTCACTAGGCCTAGACATAACGAGCTAGATCTAGCCTAGATTTCTAGGCCCGAACTATAGCCTAGGATTGGCTAGGATCGCCTAGCTTAACTTTTTGAGACGAGAGTTAAAAATCACGTGATAAGCTCATTTGAAATAGAGGCGCGACAAAATGGCGACGGAAGATTCGGTTGCAAGTAAGGGATTTGAGAGAAAAGTGAAATTCATAATAACAAGTTACAAGATCATTAGATCTAGTTTATATCTTAACGAGCCGACCCGCGGCGTATCATACGTTGCTATTTAGTTGTTTTATTTTCTACTTTTCAGTAATTCATAATTTGTGAATTCGACAGTAGGCCTACCAACGCTGCCACTGAAAATATTTTTAAAACACAGATCATATCCAGTAGCTCGTTAAGGACTATACCCCCCCCCTTTTCCCCCTACCCCCCCCCCCCCCCGTTAAAGCAGCCTCCACTTAGTTACCTACCCTGAGTTTAAAATAGTTTCAAACTAAATTATCTGCCCCTAATAGCCGGCACTAAACTCGGCTGTAAGATTGTTAGCAGTTAGCGTGAACCACAGCTCACCAGACCATGTAGGGCTGGGGGTGGTAGGGAGCGCGCTTACAGCTTGGTGTTTTCTATGGTCTTTGCGGTCACCTCCTGTTGAGCGTATTTTATTATAATATAAACACAACCGAAACACAAAAACGTTAGGAAAACACTAGGATTACAGCTAGATCTAGAGTGAACTCCCGACTTTCATTGGGCGCGATTTTGTAACCATTTAACACAGAAACAAACCCAAAGTACTATATTATTCCTCTGCCATTCTACTCTTAATATGTATCAATCATTTTATATTCCTACGCATTGAATTTGAGATAGTCATGTTTTAGTGACGTGCTACTTGCGATATTTTTTTCCCTCTTTTCTTTTTTCTTCGGCCACCTGAACCAGCTAGCGTAACGATCGTATTTTATACTAGCAATACTCACAAACCCTGTGGGCGTGGTTAGTTGCTAACAACAACATGGCTACCTAAGCGAATGCTTAGTTTCGGACATTTTTCTTATACGCTCAAGTGACTTTCTTGGAATTAGTTTTAAAAATGTTTACCTCGTGAAAAATGGCGGTTTTTTCACGTGATGTAAACTAATTATAGATGGCAGTGCCAAATATGCCAGAGAAACGCTATAAATTACTTTGGATAATGAAGACCGAAGGTCAAAAAGTGGTGCTGATAAACACAATGGCATTACCTGGGTGTTAAATTTGGGAAAACACGTCCAAGTTGTAGGGAGGGTCTGACATAGCGAAGTAGATGGTTAGACTTAGACATGGACCGATGTTTTAGAGTACCTAGCATCACATCTCCTTAAAGCATTGACCTTTTGACCAAGTAGTTTAGAGATTTAAAAAATGTGAAACATCTCTAGTTCAGGCACACTCTCACTTGTATTAATTGCACTATAGGAATTCCCAAACAGGCCAAGAGAGAAGTATCCTATAAATAAAGGCATTACCGCTGTCCATCAAGGTAATACAAAACCGGATGAGACTCTATTGTAGGGCATGGCATATAACATCTCCACACACACACACACACACACACACAGGTCCCCCAACTGTCTCCCCGTCCTGAAGTTTCACCCATTAAAACATTTGAGTTGTTCTTCCTTGGGAGTCAATGTTTTCATCTTGCTAAGTACATTTTTTAAAAATGCTTTTCTATTTGTACTAACTTCAATTTTTAATTAAGCTTTATATACATACACACACACACACACATATATATATATATGGGGGGGCATCTTCCGCTTGAGTTGGCCCGGGCATCTACATAGGTCTGCACGCCACTGTGTGTAGCTCTTGTAGCAAAGGCAAATCTAATTAAGAGTTAAGTGCTGTGTGTTGATAAATACCGCTGTTGGTTAAATATATTTTTGATCATCTACTTCTAGATCTAGATACAGATCTAGTTTGAATCTCTATATACTAACATGTTCAAGCAACCAATAAAAAAATTGGCTTCTAGATTCTACATAGCTCTGAGATTGTTAATGCTGCCGTAGCCAGCATAAAATCCAAAATAATTCTTTGTATATATGCCTAATGTAATATAAGTAAAATTTATGTTCTGGTGTACTTTTCTGTGTATAGGCCTATATATAATATAATATAAATTTATTTTCTACTCTCTTCTTGTTTTTATATTAATTACTAGCCGGCCAGGCCCTGCTCTGGCTTCTGTGAAAAACCTTTCTGTTAAAGACCATTACCTGTGTGTTTAGTAATCATCATAAACCCGGCATTGCCCACCCAAACCACAACCAACTAAAACAACAAAACGCAAACATAACGCTAACACAATTACAAATACAAACGAAAACAAAAACCTAACAACAAACCCAACCACAATCACAAACACCAATACGAACACAAAGAAAAAAACAAACGAAAAAGCAAATGAAAACAAAAACCTAACAACAAACCCAACCACAACCACAAACACCAATACGAACACAAAGAAAAAAACAAACGAAAACAAACCAAATCCAAACGCAAAAGCAACCACAAACACAAACCCAAAGAAAAAAACACAAACGAAAACAAACCAAATCCAAACGCAAAACCAAACACAAATACAAACACAAACCCAAAGAAAAAAACACAAATGAAAACGAAAAAAGAAAGAACAAAAACGAACCAAATCAAAAACGCAACCACTAACACAAACCCAACCTAAACACAAAGAAAACACTAACGCGAACATAAACGCAAAGTGCTCACAGTCTAGCCCGGGGGCAGAATCGCCTGTTTCAGCTTAATAATCGACTACAGTACCCCAAATTATTCATAGTCTTTTGCACTCACTTAAAAGAACGTAGGTGCCAAACCAAACCAAATGAACAATTATAATACTCCAAGCTTATTTGTAAAATACCTACAACATTTGCACTTAATCAATCCCCGCTAATTATGTAATTATTTTTTCCCAACACCAAAACAAAGTAATAAAAAGTAAATTATTTTCCACTAATGCAATGTTTTATAAAGGGAAGTAATTGTGTTTTCCTAATTTATCAAAGGGAAGTAAGTGCTAAAGGACTAAATATAAATAATTTTCAGACATAATTAAAATTTTTGTTATTTTAAAAAAATTATGTTTAATGAACATGCCGACAATTATTACTATCAGTTTGAAAAATGAAAATTATTTCCCAACACTTTCAATAGTAATTTTTTAACTCATAAATTTAGACTATGAGCACGATAATAGTCTAACACTTAAATCCATCGAAGTATGTCAACGACAAACAAACAAACTTATTTTTACATACAGAATTGAGCTTTATATATTAGATTGTAAATTTATGTTAAATTTCTAGACCTAGAATTGTACCCTCTCTCTCTCTGTGTTATGGATAGCTGCTGATAACTATCATAAACTATGCCAATGTACTTATCTCTACATAAAACTATATATTTGGAAAATTTAATATTCCTAAGTAGAAATGTTTAAAAAAAATTGTATTTGACAGGTTCTGCTCAAGCCTTAGTCAGTCTCAAAGAAGGTAAGATTATAAAATCAACCTTTTTGATATGGAATATAGTAATCTTTGAATTGGTTTTTAATTTAACATCTAATTAGGGCCAGTAGGGTTGAAAATGAGATTTTCTTGCGTTATCATCCGCAAAGAATTTATCTGGAAAGTTTTTTTTTTGTTCTGAAATATTTCTTGCTTACATTAAATCCATAATAAAATTAATTTTTAAGTTCCTAATTTGTATTTTAGAATTCTGAGTTTTGGTTTATTCACTAGTATCTTATTTGTAGAGGCGTTTTGATTTTTAGAATAGTTTTTTTTTAAATCACTAATTTCTCTGTAGCCTAGTTATAAAAAAAAGTGTACTTGGGAAATTTCTATTTCTTGCCATGGTAGTATTTTCCTTTTAAGTAAATACAATTCTAATTTTTATAGGCTTAGGATCTCCTCAGAGGATGGGTCACTATGTAAGTAGCATTTGTTGTTAAATATTTTGTATGTTAAAATAGTTTTCTAAGTTATAATAAGTAATATTAAATTGTATATTTAAAAAAGCAGTCACATATATTATTTTTTATTTACAAAGTATTTTTTCTGTCTATTTATTCCAAAATATGTATATAATCCTAGATCAAATATGTAGTTGCTATTAATAGAAGTGTATTCTGCAATGATGTATGGACCTTTAATTACAACTTTAAACATTTACTCTATGCTTTTACTAGACATTTCTATCCAAATATTTTTACTATAGTAATTTTCCAAAAGAAATACGTATTTAAATAACACAACTAACGGTAGATAAAATAATTCACCTGATTCTGTAGTCTCTGCTGATAGATTGTAAGGCATCATAAGGTCCTTCTTTTCTTCTCCTGCCCAATTTCTCATATGCATTTTTTAAGTCACTTTAGAGTCAGATTACAACAATTGAGCTCTAATGTAATGCTTTATAAAGTACATTTTAATAGACCACTTTTGTTTTTGAATTAAAACATAAGATATCTAAATTTTGTAGTTTTCTTAAAGTAAACTGCAGTAAACCTTAACCATGTTGTCCTACAGCCAGCTCGTATTAGAAAAAAGAATGCAAGATTTTTTAACGATGATGAAGAAACAGATTATCAAGTTAGTAGAACGCCGAAGAGACGAGTAATTCAGCAGCCACTCGTGAGTTTTTGTTAAACATTAAACAGTTTTTTTGTTACCAAAATTCTCTTCTGCTTACTTCCAATTCATTTTTTTATGGTAACTCCCACCACTTTAAATATTTTCAGTCATTACCTCAGCCAGAGCATGTGGTGTCGATTGGTTTAGATAAGAAAGCAGCTCAGGCAACTGGCATGAGGTTACGTAATTTACTTAAACTGCCTAAAGCCCATAAATGGGTATGTTATGAGTGGTTCTACTCAAACATAGATGCGTAAGTAGTCCTTTTTTACAAAAAATACTACTGGAAATATTTGTTAAATATAATAATTGGAATAATTTAATAACAAAAAAATAATATTGTTCTTTTTTTCAAGGCCTCTGTTTTTAGGAGAGAATGATTTTTGCATTTGTTTACGAGAGTCTTTTCCTCAACTTAAATGTAAGAAGCTACGTCGAGTCGAATGGAATAAAATACGTAGGCTAATGGGTAAACCAAGAAGGTAAATATTCAAATTTAATTATGCTAAGTCACTTTATCTTATAATAGTTTATAGTTAATTAAATTGTCAAAGTTGCACAAAGTATGTGTAAAATTAAAGAAATTCCAGTGCATATAACAATTATTACCATTGTAATTTTAAAAATTCGAATGCAATTTTTGTACAGATGTTCTCCGGCATTTTTAGCAGAGGAAAGATCTGTTTTAGAGGAAAGGAGAGAAAAAATTCGTCAACTTCAACAAAGGAAAACTACTGAGTTTAGTTCTATAAAAGAGTTGCCTGATGAGATACCTTTACACTTAGTCATTGGTACTAAAGTTACAGGTATATTACTTTTACCTTTTTTACTTTCTCGTATACTTATCGTATAAAGATCCCTGAGTCTGAAAAACGTAGTTTTGCAATCTTGTCCGATAACCTGAGTACCATTACAGCTAGGCTGATGAAATTTCATATATAAGTATTATATCAAATTTGTAGATCTGTATCAACTTTTCATCGATTTCCGATAACCGGAAGTGGAACTTATTCTACTTTCAATTTTTCAAAAGCCTATAACTTGAGTACTATTTCAGATAGATAAATGAAATTTCACATATAAGTAAAAGATCTAATTATCTGCCTTCTATCAAATTTTGAGTAACTTCCATTGACCGGAAGTAGTAATGTATGCTATTTCCGATTTCTCAAAAACCGCATGTGAATTTATAAAGTACTAATAATATTCCGCACTATTATACACATTTTGTTTGGCGTTCACTTGATGTGCAATTCTTTTTTCCTAGGAGATTCTATTCTATTTTTAAAAGTTTAAGTAATTAAAAATTGATTAAAAATCATGTCTATTTCCCGAGTTGCCATCCCCCGTAATGTTATATAAGAATATTCGAGAAAGTTTAGGGGAGATCACTCCCTGTTTATTAAATTTTGTTACAAAAATTACTGATTTAGTGAAGTATTTTCTGAAATATTTGTGTAGCTCGTCTACGTAAACCACAAGATGGACTTTTCACTGGAACTATTGCTGCATTAGACACAGCTGACAGTTCTTATAGGGTTACTTTTGACAGACCTGGACTAGGAACACATTCAATACCTGATTATGAAGTTTGGGTAAGTAAAGTTCATTTCACTTGTGCTTCTTTATTATTCAAATAATAAATGTTTGGAATTGTTAACATCTTAAACAATTTTTTAGAGTGATGAACCACCAGATACTATATCTATTACATCATTTCAAGAGAAACAAAAACGTCAACCTGTAAAACAAGTCTCCCACATTCCTCCACCAAAATTCATACCAGGTTATGGTTCCCCAAACTCTTTTGTGAGTATTTTGTGTAATGCTGCATTTGTAGTCACTATTTTAGTCACTCATATTTTTCAAAGAATATGTAACTAACGTTGGTTTTTCCTTTTTTCCTTTTTTCAGCAAACGGGTGGAGATGTTTCTATAAGACCAGCTGTAAGACACGGTTTATGTTTCTGAGTAATTACTCTGTAAATTGATTTTAAAAATCCAGCTAGAATAACTTCACATACAACATACTAATATATATTCTAAGTAAAATGCATGCATGGATACATAACTACTGTTTTAAATATAATTTAGCCCCCTTTTATTAATTTAGTTTAAAAATGATTGCATTTTGTCTGCAGTTTCCTGCCTCAGAAGGATTTGAAGCTCAATCACCTTTTAAAGGTAAACTGGTCAGTCTGGAAGGTGGAACCTATGGGGGGTTTCCCATCAAATTCTTGGTTTTAGTGGTAAGTTTTCAATATACTGTTAAAATTTTTAAATAACTTTAAGATTGATTTATGAGATACACATTGTTCAATCAGCTGTCCTATGCATTTGTGATAGCCCCTAGTGGTTGGTAATATTTCCACCTATCCATTTTTTTAGGCGGCCCTAGGTGTCTTGGGCATGATGATGACCCATTCCCCTACTTTGTCAATTATAAAAATAGGAAAAGGTGAATTTATTTTAAGGTTTTTATCCAAAAGGGGATTATGAAGTAAAATCAACTACAGATGAAATGTGGGAAAGCAGCTTGACCTGATAAAATCCCAGCAGATGTTTCAAAAGCATCTGGATGCATCTGTAGCATTGTAATATCCACTTTATGAGGTTCAGTAGTATAAAGAATATACTTTATCGTAAGTTAAAAGATTAGCAAACATGCTTAAGAGAGAATAAATCCTTCACAGACCGTATTGCAATATTTTGCATCATAGTTGAGCAGTCACTAGAGTGAAAGTTGCCACTGTACATCAGTTTAGTTGACAGTGTAGATTGAGAGATCCTTTCTAAACCCCATGTCACTGGCATTCCAAACAAGATAATAATCCTCATTCAGAAGAGTCCATAGTGGTCAACTAACAAATGGATGCCTGTGTTGCCACTCCCCTTACTCCATGTCATCCACTGGATTATGAAGACAGCCACCATGAAATGAAGGAATGTGGACGACAATAGTTAATAAGTGTTTAAAGTATAGAAAAAACCTTAGAAAATCAATAGCAACTACAGATCAGTTTCACAATACAAAGGATATTTTATATGACCAGGCGAAACAGCATAAAACAAATAAATTGTATATAATCTAAGTGTTAATTACATATGCAAAGGGTCGGTTTTTTAAACTCTTATTTCATCACATATAACAAGAAACTACAATTTTTTTTGTTGTGTCTTTCAAGGTTTTGCCTTGAACATATGTAATTCGAACTAAGTCAGGAAAAATTGCTTTAGTTAAAAACTTGTATATTATCAAGCTACTAGGTTAGAAGTCATCAGATGTAATTTGTTCTGGGCCTTATGTTATTTTTGGTTAATTTTATTTTCAGACACGGCTTTCTAAAATTCTTCAAGTTAAGAAAGATTGGATTAAGCAGTTGAGTGACATGAACACAACAGCTGAAAAAAAGGTTATTTTTTATTGCATAAGCCTTATAATGATCATGGTGTACAATTTCTATTAATTATGTTTTTCCACTTTTTACTTTTTGGGATATGGAGTAGACAATAGATCTATAGAAAACAGGAAATATTTTTTTTTTAAATCAAAATTAAGATTTTCACACATCTCCAAAAAATATAAGTATTAAAAAACATGTTTATAGTCTGATTACATCTCCTTAACTCTGCCTTTACACTATACACGTTTAGAACACTGATAAAGCCAGCCAAACATTATTTTTATGTGGAAACATTTTCTCCACAGAACATTTATACTTTAGCGTTCACACCTGCAGAACATGTTATACTAGAACATTTTATAAAACAAGCATAACCTTTGACATGGAGTGTCTGCTTTAAAGACCTAGATAATTAAAGGAAAGAGTAATCCAAGTAAAAAAAAATATAGATTGTGGGTACAGAACTTTATTATTTAAATGCAGATGGTGAATGACAATGTGGGTCTAAGACATCTCCATTTCGGCAGTAAAATTACCCCTTCCTAACCCTATGGTAGCCATTTCCCACTTGATGTCACTGTATAATACTTAGTTAAAGTCATATTGGTTTAGAACTTGTGCCGCTCCTTTGCTTGTTTATATCCTTCAGAAACAGCTTGCGTGATCTGAATGAATAGGGTTGAATATTTATCTGCTGAAGCACCTGATTTCTTTGAAAATCTGCATCTACCAAGTTCATTAAAAATAGTGAGATCGATTATAACTATACAGAGACTATTGACTAGTGTATCATTAAGAATAGAAGACCTAGATTTTAGAGCAGGACCTATGATTCTTTTTTTTCCCCGTATCTTGATGATGATCTCACTTAGCCTATCACTTATTGTCTGACGGTTTTTATAGCCAGTACAAGTGTGATCCCATGAGCATCTGGTGATTATTCTATCAGACGGAAACTGAAAATACATGGATACACCCTTAAACAAAATATTGTTCAAGGAAAGGAATAACTTGCAACAATAAGTTTGGCTAAATTATATTTTTGTAATTATTTCTTTAATTGCAACCTAAACTGGTTTAAGTGTACAATTGTATGCATTACAATTTTTCACTAAAATGTCTTTGGGATTTAATTAAAGAAATAATAAGCTATTATAAAAAATGTAATTTTTAGTAGGGTCTAGAGAAATAATAAATAAATTTTGAAAGTGTATGCTCAAAATTCAACATTAGTATATTTAAGTTACAATTTGCATCAGCTGAATGCTAGAAATTAGGATATGCTTGAGGCATGCTTTGTCATCTGAAAATACAGAACATGTCCAATGATTTTGCTCAGTGTAGGTCAAGTCTAGTATACATGTTAGTGTAAATACTGTGTTAATGTTACATCCTAGTATATAAAAGCCCATGTTAGCACTTCTCTCTCTCTGTCCGCAAAATTTTTGCAGCTATGAGATCAGTACATTCAGCGATATATGGAGAACTTTAGTTGAAAATAATATGTTGGATGTTTAAAATGTATAAACTAAATTTTATTTAAAGAAGGAAAATAAAAATAAAGGTATATTCAAACGTAGAAACACATTATAATTATGCAATCGGAAAAGTGTTTATGGTTATGACGAGCGCTAAAAACAATGAAGTCACATGTTTAAAATACGGAAAGCGCCCATACACTAATGGCATCATCTTCCAATTTTAGTATATGAAGAAATAAACTATTTCATTCAAATTTTAATCAAGACATATGCTATGAAACAAACAATTTAAAAAAACCCAACAAATTCTATTGAATAGCCAGGTTTTAAACAATCATTTATGTCTCTTAATCAGTGTGTGCATTAAATATGGTGTTGTGTTGACTAATAATGTATATAAGATCTATTTGGTTTTAATTTTTCTAATAGGTATTGGTAGCCTGTGTTATTTTAAATGTCAGATTTTTAGCTATTTATTTATTTGCTTTGTCACTAATATCGTTCAACGTTTAGTTAAGCACATTGCATTTTGACCAACAACTATTTTATAAATTATTTTTTCAAACAAGTATAACATTAAAAGGCATATAATATATTGGCCTATAATTCACATGAAATGTGTACCCATGGCTAGTAGGAATATATCATGATAAAGTTTAGGGTAGATCACTCAGTTTAATTTCCTAAGTGACTCAGTTTTATTGATATATGTAAATTATTTAACTTCAACTTTTGTCTCTTTCAGAGCTCTTTTCAAGAACCAATTACTTTGGAATTTCAAAAAACTTATGCAGGAATCGTGCTTGAACTAGAAAAACTAAATAAAGATCTTAATGATTACCTGAATGGAGTTCAGACTTACTGTTTAGATGTAAGTTGGATAAAATAATTTATTCCAGTTTTTGCACAGAATTTATGTGTTACATATATTTTTATTGCCTAAAATAGCTCTATGTTCCTTATTTAGAATTTATCATCATAAACTACATAAACATTTCCCGTTAATGCCCAAGACACGTGACAGATGAAGTAGAGCTCATCTGCTTCAGAGACCTCGGCATATGAAGGGATAGCATGGTCAGCTATATGACCAGCCACCTTTGTTTCCCTATTGTGAGTTAGTTACCCTTTAGAGCTAGGTGGACTCCAGATGTTCCACTGATTTGAACCCAGATCCAAACTAGAGACTCTCGGGTTAGCAGTCTAGCTCTCTTACTACCGCTAGGCCACACCGTCCTTTATTTAGAATTGAACACAAGTAAAGTAGAAATTTAAAAGTTTTAGGTTATAAACATATCCCATTTTAGATTGCACCTGAGCAAGGAGTGACTCCAGCTGAACCTCCTTCTGAAATAAAGAGGAAATGTGATGAAGAAGCAGAAGAAACAGTATCGAGAATATGCAGGGTATATTACATAAAAATCTCACTAGCTAATTAGATTAATAGGGAATCAACATCCATACTTTACTTGAATTGTATGATTATGAACTGTTTTGTTCATCATTGGGTTTAAACTGTCTTAGTGGTAAATATTCTTACATTTTTTGTTGAAATTGATTCCTCAATGTTTGAATATAGTCTTGCAATACAATTTTTTCAGCAACCTCAATTCTAATTAAGACAATTTCTTTCAAAATTGACAAAAAATAATTTAGAAGTTTAGACATATTTCATTTAGATTACATTTATTTTTAAACAAACTATGTGAAAACTTAAAAAATGACGCAATTACATTATGAAGTAATTGAAAAAGGGGAGATTAACAGCAAATTGTTAGCCAAAAAATAAGGGGGGGGGGGGGGGATACAGCTGGTTTTGTGTATCTTTAATTGTAATCTCTGAAATTTAGGTTTCCATTTTAACATATTTTTTAAATTTCAAAGGAGCCTCTTATAAGAGTTGATTTTTAAACATATTTTTAGATTTTAGACCCTAAAATTCCCGTGCCCCTGAGCTAATTGTTCACCCAACAGACTCATTAAAAAAATGAAGACTACGAATATAACAACACATTTAATTTTATTATTTTAATAAATAACAATGAGTCAAATAGAATGACAAAAGGCCGACCTCCGAAAGGCCGTCAGGACAAAAGGCTGACATGGACAAAAGACCAACATAAATAAGGTTGACTGGAGATAAGGCCAACAGCCAAAAGGTAGCCACCCAAAAGGCAGACATACCATGAGGACGACAAGCAAAAAAATCCTAAAATCTCTGTGTATATTATAAGGGATAAACAGATAATTTGTAATAGCACTAAATTTCGAGGAGAAATGGAAAAAAAACCAAATGAAATGCACCTGGGGGCACCATTTTTTAAATCAATGCAAATTTAAAGAGCAGATTAAGCTTTGTGCTCATGGATTTGTAAATATTTTATTGCATACTTTTCGGCCTGATGGTGTGTTGACCTTTTGAGTGTCTGCCTTGTAGATGCGGGCCACATGGTCTCTCGGTCATATGCCCAGTCCTTTTAGATGTTAGCCGTTTGACCATATTGGCCTTTTGTCAGTGTCATTCTGTCATTGTCTGTCTTTTGTCCGGATCCTGTCGAATAGTACAATTTAATACTTTTTGAATTTCACATCTTTATGTACAAACTGTCGATCTGAGGTAAGGTGTCTAACACCGCTTTATCAATAACTCGGGGCATGGAGATTTAAGGCAAGTACCATAGTTTAAGATCACCAACTACTGATATCAAATGTTTGTTGGTTGTGGTGTTGAACTAAGGACTAACAAAATGGGAAAAATAAATACTTATAAAATAAAATGTGTATTAAAATCTATGCAATAGCAAGCCATGAAATAAACCAAAAATTAAAGTATTTTTTTTTACTTTAGTGTCACTATGAATGGTACATGAGATGGGTTTTACTATTATAATTTATATTTAAAGGTTTAGTTTTTTTTTTTATACATTTAAAAGCTTTTTACAAAGGTTCATACATACTTATTGTTAGTTATGTACTAAAAAAAAATTGATTTTATTTCAGGGAATGCTGCAGAACCGTAGAACAGCTAATAATGAGAAAATTCTTCAACTAGTTGGTGATTTAACATCCATTATGTTACAAATTCGTGTAAGTATGTCCATTGTGAAGTTACATTTCTTTCATTTTCTGATTGCATCGCTTAATTACTAATACTCTTGAACTTTTTTAAAGACATTTTCAGAAAACGAAAACAGTTCATTTGAATTTGGATCTCTCCAAGAAAGCTTACAATCAATCAAAAGTAGATTGGATGCCAATAATATCAAGTAAATATATAACTTACTCTTTCAGTTTTTGAAACTAAAGACATAAACATCCTTTACATATTTACAGACATATCTACCTTCCCGCCCCTAGCAGAATCATTAAGTTTTTTCAATGAAAAACTGTTTTATTCCGCTTGTCGTCAAAGTTTGTTCTGCACATTTGATAAATTTGCAAAAATATTATTTAAAAAATCTAATTGAAAAAGTGAGGAAAATGCAATTATTTCCCTTGGTCATTCCTTTCTATTTCAATATTAAGGTCTATATATTAAGTTAGTCCATATGAAAAATGTCAGCTGCCAAGATTGCTGGAGCTATAAAAACGAACAATATTAAAATTTTTAAAATATTCTGAGAAATTTATTTATAAAAGAAGAAAAAAAGTTCTTTATAGTATTTGTAATCGTTAATTAAATCAACAGTTAATAAAATATGAAGTAAAATAGCATATGATCAACCAACTACATGCACAAACTAAAAATATTAGGCCTACTGCTGAATTTAATAATTATTATTAAAATATGAAGAGGAGCTTTAGTATAGTTTTGCATATGGAGTATCACAACTACAAATCCAAGAATTTCCCTGCTTTTTTTTTTCATATAATTTTCATCACATATTACCGTTAACATAAAGTTGCGAAATAAAATAACAAAAACAAAAGCAGAAATTATTTTTGGGGTGCACCTCATATCTTAAAAGTTTTAAACCCTAAAACTTAATGTCGCATCAGAAATTTTTTAAAAGACATTTGATTTATAAGATGTTAGTCTATATGTTCCTTCAGTGTTTTAACATTTTAACAGTCTTTAAACTAATAAACAATAATTAATATTTAAAGGATTGTGTATAGAACATGAACAGTTAAAATTTTTAGACCCATCTTGATCCCGTAATGTTATATTACATTTCTAGAACTTCCCCAATACGAAACAACTGCTTATGCTTACACAATTATTAACCATAATAGTTTCGCTATTCTGTTTGTTGGTAACGCTCTAGAGAAAACACAAGGAAATTTAAGAGATGCATAGTGAAAGACCTTGACAACACATGAAACATATAGGAAGTCTTCTAAACGAAATTTGTACAGTTCTAAAGCCACAAATTTTCCGGGGAGATGGTTTTCTCCCAGAAGAAAAAACTCTAAATGTGTCTTTTGTCTAGTTTGAGTTTAGTGGTATGACTACAACTATATTTAGTATGCATGTGGTGTAGATCAAGGTTAAATCCAGTAAAAATGCCAATTCTGGATAAAAATCCATTTTCAACGACATTCGTTTCCAGTTAAAATTGAAGTTGAGATCAATTTGGTTTTGTTTTAGAGAAAAATACAGCACTATCAACCTAGAGCCCGATGTATTTCTCCCTCACCGACCCATTTATCTAGTTATTTATATAATGAGTTTAGCTGATAGAAGACAGACTATGTAGCTTACTCTGCAGATAATACAGAAAAGAATTATCTTGGAAATATTTTAGTACTATTAAAAGTTGTAGAAATTTACACTGATGTATTCCTGCTGTTTGTAACATCTTGGTATTTAATTTTAGCACTTCCAACAAAGTTGTTATTCATGCCACCAATTTAAACGGCAAATATTTTGTTTAAAAATCCTCATCATAACATTAGTATACTCATTAATTAATAATAATAGTAATATCTTAAATAAAACAAGTTTCTGTTACTATCGTTTAACACTGAAATTCCATTTTAATTGCAATTTTTACCTAGATTTAAAATGTAATGACCATTTTCTTAAAGGTACCAGTGTTTTTAAAAACTTAACATTATGTTAAAATTTACTGGTTTAAGTTTGATGGTCAATTTGATCCACCAGAATAGCTGAAAAAATATATTAGGTCCTATGCTGTATAGGGCCTAATGTCTTTTTTCTTATTTTAAGTGATTTTTTTTAGCATACTCGTGCCTGTGTGCCTGTATACAGGCACGTCTGGTTATTTAGCTATTTGGTTTATTGCATGATGAAATCACTTAATATTTTCAGTGTCTTCCAGAATAATGTAGAAATACACATTAATCACATCCAAAGTGGACTCAGCCAGATGGGTAACCTTCATGCCTTTGCAGCATCCAAGCCAAAAGTGTAGCAAGAATGCTTTGACGTTTGTACCTTGAGAACTGTAAACTAAATTACAACCAATAGTAATTTTAAACTTTGGTGTCTTGAAAATTAAATTTATTTAATTACAAAACACAGTACTTCAAGAATTTACTATTTAATTGCCAAAGGCTAGATTTGTAAATATGATTTCAAATGAATTTTATTTATACAATGACATTGATTTTTGTTTTATTTTCCTGTTCTTGTGTACAGTAATCATAATTTTGCTGTTTTTTGCAATAAAACATTTATATTTGTACAATTTGTAGGCAATTTATTCATTATTTAGATTCTAAATCTTCTTCCAGTTCCTGTTTTTTTATTAACTCCCAGTACAGTCCACGCTTGGCCTTCAGCTCTGAGTGTGTTCCAATCTAGTGAAGTAGAAATATTAAAACTTTAGGCTGTTTATTCCAGGGAGGTGTGACAATGTTAGTAGTTTAAATTCATTTAAACAATGTACATGGATCTCAGTTCTTCCACTAAGTTCCACCCAACTTTTAAGGAATGTAAAGGCAACTTAAGTGAAAACAGGTGAGCTTTGCTTTACTGACAGGAACATCTACCTTTAAACAAAGTACAAGGGAGTCACTTTTCTTGCATACCATTGCGGTGTTAAAATTTAAACCAAACTACTTATAGCTGTATTTGTACATAAAAAGAATTGATTTCACTGCAGTGGTGTAGCTCATGTCAAAGTAATATGGTCACACCAGCCTTGAAAAACAAATACAGGATCTCAACTTTAAAAAGGCAGAAGTTTATACTTCTTGTTAGCTGGAATAACTGGTTTTATCTGCCCTTAGGATAGGAAAAAAAAATGTGCTTTAATATGAAATCAATATTAACATAGTATTTACCTCCATTATCTTTCCTTTACTAACTACAGCAATTATGTCAGCGTCTCGTACTGTGCTGAGTCTATGAGCTATCACTAAGGTTGTCCTTCCTGTTTAAACAAGGTGTTAAATTTTTTTACAGAAACTTATTTTAATGCAAGTTAAAGAATAAATATTACAGATTATTTATTTGTACAGACCTTTCACAACTTTATCAAGAGCTTCTTGTACTAGTCTTTCAGATTCAGCATCCAGGGCACTGAAATTATTTTACAAGTTCAACTATCAGAGACAAATTTTAGTTGTATTTTGTTGCCCAATTGCTGTATACAAATCTAGGATTGCTTGAAAATATAATTAAATGTGTTTTTTTGAACAGCAGAGTAATAAATTGTAAACAATGACAGTTGATAAAATCTATTGTTAAAAAAAACATCTCAATGTTATGTAGTATTTTTGTGTTCCCAAATGTATGGAACTATCCTTAAAGTTAATAGTTGTAAAATATAACTAAAAGAGTAATTAATTTAAAGTGTTTTTCTTCATCCATTAATAGTTAAGGGGGGATATTAGCGTGTTGTATATATTTTTTTAAAATTTAAGTAAAATCTAAGCTTTAATTAATTGTGTATGGAGATTTTCACACTTCAAAAATATTTTTAGTAGTTACTGGAAACTAATAACAAAAAAACAAATTCTATGGAAAAATTTCTTCTACCTGGTAGCCTCATCCAAAATAAGAATAGAAGGGTTCTTAATAAGAGCTCGAGCTATAGCAATTCTTTGTTTCTGACCACCTGATACAGTGATGCCCCTTTCTCCAAGTACTGTTTTATAACCATTAGGGAACGATGTTATAAACCCATGAGCATTGGCTAATTTTGCTGCTTCTATAACCTTTGGTAAATGATAATAAATAGAAGATAGGGAGAATAATAACATGAAATTTTAGACCACACACATGAATTAAAAATTTCTTACAACAATCATAAGGCAACCAAGTTATATTTTTGTTTTACTAACGACTGTCCAAGTGAACGCAATGCCCCATTTATACATAGAAGAATTGACCTGCAGGTCTTTTTCAGTGGATAAGCACCAAACTATGCCACATTTTGCTGTTTTGGACAATTTTTTTTCAAAACAATTTTCAATAAACAAGTGCCATACCAACATTTTAAAGATATGTTTTCTCATACGTTAGTTTTGAATTTAAGCCTACTTTGTTTTAAAGACATTCTTAAGAATCAATTTTTAAAAATTTGTTCATAATTTTAAAAATAGTGGATAGGTTGGCTAACCTCTTGATCCGATGCATTTGGTTTTCCATAGCGAATATTTTCCATAACAGAAGTTGCAAACAAGACTGGTTCCTGCATTAAAATTTGAATAAGGAATTACTTCACGTGTATTTTTTTCATTAGGTTGATGAAGTTCTGGGTAAGACTATTGCTTATGTAAACATTGCATTTAGGAGCCAAGGGACACCTTAACCATCTCTAACTTGACACCTACTTTTTGTTGTATAAGCTTACCTCAGCCGTATGCTGGCAATAGAATCACATGCAATGTTCTTGAAACTTTTCTTCCCTTTTTATTTATATATTGTTATAGAAAAATCCCTTAACTATAAAAATGGTCTAAGGTTAACAAAACAAGGAAAATAACGGTGAATACATTTTTTTTTACATAAGTAAACAGCCAGTGTTGACAAAATTCTTATACTTATTCAACATACATGCAGTATAAAAAATCAAGTTTAAAACATACCTGATTAATAAATCCAATGACTTGACCCCTTAGCCAAGATGGATCTAAGTCTTTTATATTTACACCATCGATCTTTATCTCCCCTGAAGTGACATCATAAAATCTCTCCAGCAGAACTGCTATTGTTGATTTACCTGCATGATTTAAAGTATAATGAACAAACCACTATTAATGTCTAGAGCTTGATTATACAAATTTTAAAAACAATGTCAGTAGCTAAAGTCACTAAGTATCCACCAAACTAAGATAGTTTATTACAGTTTGCTTCTACCTGGAGCCTTCTCGGTGTGGGAGCACTAAATTTATTTAACGGTGTGGGAGCACTAAATTTATTTAACGGAAAGAAATATTTCAGTAAGTTTCATGCCAAAAGATTTTCAATGTACACATACATGACAAAATTTATTTAAAATTCAGCCTCTAAGCCTTTTATATTTATGTCAAGGAAATTTAGAGGAGAAAAGAAGAAAGGTGCTGAAATTGGATTAAGTCCCTTATTACCTCCTCCTGAAAGTCCAACCAAAGCAACCATTTGACCACCAAGAATCTTCAAATTGAAATTATTCAAAACATCCTGAAAATAATTTAAGCAGAAATGTGAACTAAACCTATCTTAAATTATTTACAACTACTTATTAATTTTTTTTGTTAACTGTTGGCAATAAATTGTTAACAAAAGATAGATATTCCTACACTTTTAATTAAAATTCAACATCTGTTTATACCAGAGTCTGCAACCTTTTGAGACGGAAGAGCCAAAAGTTACAATTTACAAAATTTACCACTTCTTTAAAGAGCCACATTTTTATTTCAACATTTTGGTATTTGAATAGGATTAGGTAAATAAATTGGATTTGTCATTTAAAATAAATAGCTTTAACTATGAAATTATATTTATTCATTTAAAAACATACACATGTTTCGCCAGAATAATAAACTTGGTAATCAAATAATATAACTATAGGACTACACCAATCCTCTTTAGAAGCTGTTAACTTTTTTTTTCTTTCTTTGTCTGCATGACCTGTTCAGGATGTGTCTGCCATTAGCCAGGCAGGCCTCAACACGACAAACTCCGACTAACTGGCTTAGATATTGGTTTGATTACTGTATCGGTCACTTCTTTCCTTTGGTTCTCACCATTCTTATCTGACACCCCACACGGTAGACTCGTACCCCACCATCCAGTGCCCGGCTCAACAGTACGAAGCTAATAACTAAAAAACGTTACGTCAAATTAAGGATAAATGACAGATGGGGAAATGCATTCTGAATAAAATAACATTCCAAATTTAACGATATTTGAAAATGTGGGCAGTGGCAAGTAAGGATCTGTTGCCTCAGGCTGTCCACAACGCGGCTTTGGGGCTGGGCTTGGTGTCCAAGCAGCTGTCAGCTGTCTGTGTACACTCTACTCCACCTGTTCTCACTTATCTCTGGTTGGTAATCTCTAACATTGCTGTGGGTATTCAGCCTTAGCAGTGGGTACTCAGTATAATTGTTGTGGGTACTTAGTGCTTAATCTGTGGGTGCTCAGTGTCACTGATGTTGGTATTCAGTGCTGAAGATGTGGGTACTCAATAACACTGCTGTCAGTACTAAATGCCAGTATAATGCCACTGATGTGGGCATTCAATAGCACTGCAACGGGTACTTTTGTCAGTATTCAATCTTACTGTATTTATCCCAGTTTTAGGTTTATGCTCAGAGTTATTATTGTCAAGGTCGTTGTGAAGACCTTTCTTTGGTGGTATCCAGGATAGGGGTCCACCACCTCACTTCCTGTTGTCTAGTTATTTATTATGTTCTCCTAATATTTTACAATGCTATTTCAAAGCTAAATTTGTTATATTGTACCCAGCAGCAGGATCACATTATTCCAGCATCGCTCTCTCTCCATATGCCAATGTCAATGAAACAGGTGAACTCTACTTCACCTACCACATGGACCGTAACGTTCTAAAATGTACTTTATATATAAGCTCTTCTTTCTTCTTCTTCTTCGTTCTTAATTATGAGTGTTGAAGGGGATCGAGAATTATCTGCCAGTGCGTTTGAACTCAAGACTTTGTTCAAATTTATCAACCATGAGCTTTTTGCCGACTCGACCACGCCTCCAACACAATTAAGCGTTACGTGTCAACTGGTTATGCGCCATTGAGGTAATTGACTCCGATTTCAGCCTGCTTTTCTTTTTGGATTTGCTTCCATAGCCTTTGTCCAACCAAGAACAAACTACAAGGCAGCAGTTGTTTAATTTTGGAGTTGTCTCTCCTTGAAGAGTGGCTGTCCCCAGCTAACGAGCCTCATCTGCCCGGGGGTTCGAACTCGAGACTTTTCGGTTTAGCAACCATGAGCTTTACCGACTCGACCACGCCGACCCCCATATATAAGCTGAGATTATAATGTAAATACTTTTCTTATTTATAATCATAATTGAAGAAATGACAGCTTGGCAAGGCATCTTAATCTTATTTCGCTATACCTGCTTGGCACCAGAGTACAATTTTATGTCTTGTTGCTGGATGTCCCAAAAACGTGACAAGCCGTAATCAGAAGATAACTTCCTAAATTATTCTTATATGTGATTTATACTGTTTATATACATAAAAGAGTGAATAATAAAGCTATTAGTATTTTTTGTACTAAAAACGGACCACCTATTTAGTAATAATAATCAACAATGTAAAAGTAGGCTGAATTTACTAAGTCAAGAAATTTACCATGCGCACGAGTCGAGAGTGTGACGTCATAAATTTCGACTTGACAACGTGACCATTGGTACCGATACGACCGTCTGGATGTATCCAATACACAACAACCAGCAGCAGTTGGATAAATGTACATATGCGCATATGCTACGCGCAAAATTGGTATGCCGCGACAGTCGGCATTAAGGGGTTAATTAATAAGAGCAATTTTAAGAACTAGAATACATTTTAAAAAACTTTTACAATGTTATCATTTAAATACTTAAAATTACAGAAATCTTAATTTTCAACAAACAGTCAATATTTACAAATCTTACTTTCTTAATTAAAATGTAATTTTTCCTTACCTGCTCTCTTGTAGGATAATGGAAATGGACATCAGAAAATTCAATATTTCCAACTAAGGAGTGGTATGGAATCTTCTTACCACCTTTCAATTGAATTTTAGGTTGAGAGTTAATGTACTGAAAAAATAATGTTTCATATGCAAATAAGAAAAATCCATTATACATATACCAAAACCTTTTGTTTACCAAATTATAGTTTAAACTGTTATAAAGCAAAATAATACACATGAGTAGTTTAATTTTTTAAGAAGTAATTAAAAAATCAAAAGAACAAAACAGTTACATGAATCATCTTACTTCAAAAACACGTCCCCCTGCTGAAATACCACGGACAACATGACCTAGTAGCAAAGACATTTGAGCCATTGACCTGGAAGCAAACAGGGAAATAAAGAAGAGAAATTAAGCAAAATGACTAGGCAAATCTGGGCTGACCAATAAGTAGAAACTTCTGATTTCAGTACCCTGTCAACACACAGAAACATAAGTTCATTAGTGAGGTCACTAGGTACAAGGTAGACAAATGCCGGACAATAAAAAAAAAAAAAACAGATTCCAAAAAAAATAAATAATTCCAGATTTCTAATTTGCCATTAAATTGCTAAAAGGTTTTGTTAAATGCCAACCTTTCTATCATCTGTGTTGCAACTAGAAATGAGATCAAATCTCCAGGCTTTAGCTCATGTGTAGAAATAAGCCATCCTCCAGCAAAGAGAGATCCCAAAACTAAGCCTTTTTATTTAAAAAAAGAACAGATTTCAATCAGAAAAGCAAATGTCATATTCACCACAGTTACATTTCATTATAAAAATTCGGACACTAAAATGTGTAAAAATACATACTTTAATTTAGACTTTAATGTTTAGTGAAATTGTTCAAATATATATTACTATAAAAAATGTAGGCAAATAATAAACAAAGAAAGTAATATTGCATCCTCACATCATTAATTTAAGTTTTAAAATAATATTGGTGGGTGGGAAATGAAATAAAATTTTAACAAAGGGATTTTGAAGGACATAAAGTATGGAAAAAAGCATCAAGAAATCTTCAGCAACTTCTGACAATAAAAAATACAGTACAGTAATGTCACAAGTCAGGGCAGAATGCCATCCAATTATAAAACTGCTACATTTACTGAGAAATGTATTTAGTTAAATTAATAATTGATTAGCTTTATCTCATTAAGAAATCCATATTCGTACCATTTGACATGGGTGAGGGGTGTGACACTTAACATGTTTGTGGTGACACCCTGAATTCACTGTAGTAAATGACACCACAATTAAAAGGCTTCTGATAAAACAAACAACGTAATGATACATAAATTGCTACCATTTAGGAAAACATTTGCTGCTCCTTGAAAGACTCCAATTCCAACACCTAATGCAATGTTACTAGTGGCAGACTTGTCAACTTGTAGTTCATAAAGTCTGTAAATAGTAGAATACTCACACATACTTAAGCTATTTAATTACTTAAAAAGCTATTTTATTATTTTGTCATTCCTAAATAGAAGCTCTTTTTTAGATAGGAAAATTTCTTACTCATATTCTTTTTGTTCCATGGCAAAAGCTCTGACTGTTCTAACATTGCCCAGAGCCTCGTCTGCCACTGCTGTGGACTTTGAGATTTGTTCTTGAGCTTCACGTGACAATTTTCTGAGCATGGAGCCCCAGGTGGTCCCACAGATAATGACAACTGGCACAACACCCAGCATAATTAATGTCAGTTTGGGGGAGATCAGAAATAAAGAAATAGTGCATCCAATAGTCTGTAGAAATAAAATATGCTCTATAAGCAAATTTTGTATTAACTTGTATTAATTAACATTATTATTCAATACAATTGTTTCATACAATTCCAGGTACCTACTGTCTTTCATTATGAGGTCAGTTTTAACTGGTATTTTTATTGCTAATTATATTTCAGTATCAAACAGAATTTATTTTAGCTTTCTGGAAAGAACATAATCAAGGAGATTTTTAAAAAATCTGTATGAGAATGTACACATATATATATAGGCCTATATATATATATATATATATATAATATATATATATATATAGGCCTATATATATATATATATATATATATATATATATATATATATATATATATATATATATATATATATATATATATATATATATATATATATATATATATATATATATTAAAAGGTATATTACTTCTCAGTCTAGGTTGTATCAGTTCTTTCTTTGCCTTTTTAAAAACAGAAACAAAAAAACATTCAGAACAAACCTGTGTAAGTGCTCTTAATCCTTGAGAAATGGTAAGCTTAAATGAGCTTTTGAACTCTTGAACATCAGAAGTCAACCTTTTAATGCAGAGTAAAACCCAACATTGAACCTTAAATGCAATTACAATGCTATTAATTTCATATTAATGTTTTAAAAAACACACTTTTAAAGTCAAAAATAGATTTTAAAGTGACTACTCTATAAGTTATAACATGAGTATATAATATAAAAAAAAATCCTAACAATGATTATAGACCTCATTGTATAAAAGTGTCTTAATTAAATTTTTGTACAGGTAACTTCATAAACTGAATTTTAATTATGAATATAAGTGCATCATTTTATTTACACATCTTAACTTTATAAAATATTAAATAAAGCAAACGGTTAATGAATAAGCCACACAAATGTTCTCACCTATCTACAAGATGTCCTACTTTATGGCTATCAAAAAATTGTATATCTTGTTGTAGTAATGAATGGAAAAGTTTTTTTCTGAGTCGAGCAGCCATATTTTCACCCACAACAGCCAAGAAACTAATGTAAGCAAATGTAAGCAGCCCCTGTATGAATAAAACTATCAATGGCTGTTGTACACAATATAAAAATTGTGTAAAATCACAGTGATTTTAGACAGCAAGACCTTTTCAAATGACATTCACTTACTTAAAATTGCAAGTCTGATTGTACACTACCTGAAGTCCATACAAAGCACACAACTTTAAAGCAGGCATTTTCATTTCAGATAGGAAGTTGGATCCATCTACCACATCTTTTGTATAACTGCTCACTATATTTGTTAAATCACCTAACATCAATGGAATTTGAATGTTAACAATTGCTGCTCCTAAAGCTGCCTGTAAAAGACATATTTTAGTAAGTTGAAAAAAATGTACTGTGTTAATCAACTGAAATATGTCCTTCTCTCAATATTAATATATTATGATTTGTTTATTAAGACAAATGCAGTTAAAAAGGTATTGTATGATTACCAAAATAGCACCAATAAGATAAAATATATCTTCCCAAAGAAGTTGCAGGAATGACTTCCACTGGAATTTAGGGTGACTAGTGTCCAAGTCTTCTTCATTCTCATGAGAGAGACGTGTATTAGGAGCAGCTCTACATTGTGCTATTGGTACACAATGTTTCCATGCTAAATAAGCAGTAAAAGAGCAAAAGGTAAAAATGGAAGCCTTGTCTGCAGGCCACTTAGTAAACAACCTATGCTTGTGGTGTGATTTACTGAAAGTCAGTGAGGACTTGATAGCTCTTCTGAAATGATCAAGTACGTCTTGAAGCGATAAGCTTGAACTTCTACAGTTGAAATGATTGCTCTGTTTCTGAAGACTATTCCTGAGAAGAAGAAAAAGTCATTTGACTAAAGTATTTGGTACTTGTTGGTTTAACTATTCTTGCTGACATATATGTGTTAACATCCTAATAACTAGGACTAAACATCATTAACAATAAAAAACATAGAGATGGTAATGTTAGGATATCAGAGCAAAAATTGCTCCAAAATTTAGCCTGGTATTTTATTAACTCTTTTATCTAATTTGAAGGGCATTGATGCTATCATTTATAGGCGTATGAAACTATGTTCTCTGTAATGTAAGTGTATATTGGTTTATTCAGAAAATTGTTAGTCATGGGATCAAGGTCAAGGGTATGATCAGTAATAGGGCTAGCATTATGATACTACAGTTAACAAAAATTATTTCTGATTCGACTAAGTCCTTTTTAGTTTCGGTGTATGCACATTATTGTCACAAGGCATAGAGCGCACTAGGTGACACCAAAATAAAATATAGTTTATTTTAACTACCAGTCAGTTTAAAGGCTTATTAAAGTTCTATATATCATTAGGCTCAGGGTGACATTATCTGGGATGGGTGTGACACCACATTAACTATAGTTTTAGCAGCCATTAGCAGACAGAAGTGACACCTTGGATTACCACACTGGGTGTTATCCTGCATAGTGACACCACTGGGTACCAAGAATTTATTACAATGAGCTACAATGAGCTAATCAGCAAAGCTTCATTCAACTTTTTTATTATTAACTGTAGTAGCCTATATGATTTTTTTAGTTACACTGTGGTGCAAAATAGTTTACATAAAGAATAGGCCTAATGTTTCTTGTTTAGAAATTCAGAAGTACATTAACTAAAAGGACTTTACAGTAAAATAAATCGGTTTGATTTTTAGTTATTGTAAAACGTCACATTCATCAGTGGTAACCTGTAAACACCAAGTAGCAAGGCTATATATTATTACTGGATTATTACTGGATGATTAAGCAGATATAACTTTAACATTCAAAATTAGATCGCAGCCAATGTCACCTAGCTAGGGTGTGTAGTGTGTAGGCCTACTACTAGAACTATATATTATGGTAGTTTCCTTTCAGGCAAAGTAACAGAAAAAGTAGAGTTCAATGGTTTCTTGACCAGGGCATGTGACTGTATAGTGACCAACAAGGTGCCCAACCTTTACAGAGGCGTAGCGACCCTTCCGGCAACCGGGGACAAACTTTTTTATTTGCACCCCCCCCCCCCCTCAAACTTTCTATTTGCACCCCCCTCAACCTTTCAATTTATTTTTCTAACACATTTCTAACACATATGTCCCCCCCCCCCCCTTTGCTACGCTACTGAACCTTTACATTCCCTAACCTAACTTGAGTCAGGTATCCATCAGAGCTTGGTGGACTGAGGGACATCGTACAAACTCAAGCCTCAGATTAAAAATTGAGACCTTCAGGTTAGCCAGTCAAGTGCTTTCTACCCTCTACCTGCCCACCACGCAATCCCGCAAATAATTCTGACATATAACATACAAATATTATATTAGTGTTAACTGTTAAGTATGTAGTATGTATACATTATTTTATTAATACATGTCTTTTACATGATGATAATTTCATTAATTTGATGTTAATATTAATAAAGTACATTAAAAAGTCTAGGTTCTACTTAGAGCAGATCCAGACCTTGCATTTTAACTTACACAGAATGAGAATATATTTTACACATTTTTGGCGTAAAAGAATAATTAAAAGGGGATATATTTCTCATTTTCATTGGCGATATTTTCCCAGCAGTGAGGGACTTTGAGAGGAAATGAATAAGCATTGTTTCATCAATATTTACTATTTATATTTTTTTTTAATTACGCTTTAAAAAATTATTAAAAATGAAATGCAGTAATGCAGGCCTATTTAACTGAACTAGATCTAGATCTCTAGAACATATTATAATTTCAGACTTCTTCCAAATGCATTTCATTTAATTAATATAGATCTAGATATCTAATCATTGTAAGGCTCTCTACGGCAGTGTAATTCTAAGGTCGACACCACTTTTTTTCTAGGTTGCTGACCTTTAGCCTACTCTAGAATGGTCATGTGACACCTAAATGGAGAAGGCTTAAAACAATTCCTCTTTCGCACTAAAAGCTATTTCGTCCGTTGTCATTTTCGAATACTGTAAATGAAATTTCACCGAACTGCTTTGTTTCTTACTTGAAATTAGCTATAACTCGCTGTTTCTTTCGGATTTGTTTGTTTTATAGTTATGGAGGATGGGGGTTGAGGGGGGGGGGGGGGGGGAAGAGGCACTTGAGGGGGTAACTGTTAGAATATGGGGAAAGTGGGTTGTACCCCTCCTTTGCCTAAGAAAAAAAACCTTTAATAAACTAATAATCTTTATAGGTGTAATTATTAAAAAGAAGAGCTGGGCTCTGACAAAAAATAAATTAAAAAAAAGAACAAAACTGTACTTTAATCATCGGCTCAGAAGTTAAAAATAGTAGGCCTATCCAGTATTTCTTTCATGCTCTTTGGGGGGGGGGGGGGGGGGGGGAGAGAGGGGAGAGAGAACCACTAATTTAGTACGCCCCTCCCCTCCTCAAAACTTTCAAGTGCCTCCCCTTTCCCCCCCCCCCCCCCCCCCCCACCGAGAAAAAAGTATAAAAGAAACATTGAGACCTACAATTGTATGCGCTATTAAGTAGGCTACCAAAAGGTATGTACCCATGCTAAATAGATTACTGTTGCATTCTGTAATAAGCTCTACAATGTTTCGTTAATTATGTCACCCACTTTGTTCAAATGTCAAATTAGTTTCATCAAAATATTAGATATATATCTACATATCTTTTTACTGAAGTGAATCTTTTTCATTATATCAGGTTGCTTGTCATAAAAAGTATCTTTCTGTCATTAACTTTAACTAATAATCAATAAAGACTTAATTTCATGACTCTTAAGGTATAAAAAATCCAAAATCTGCCCATGATCTTGAAATTCGGACTTTGGCCGGTCACCCCTAGACAGATGAGCAGTCAATGGGAGGCAATACTGGCCAATGCGTGCTTTGGCCGACTTCGGGTTTTGACCGTAACATATATATATATATATATATATATATATATATATATATATATATATATATATATATATATATATATATATATATATAGGGCAGGTCTACATGAAACTATTCAACAGCATGCGGAAAATAGGAAGAGAGGCACATGAACTGGTTATGCGCCATTGAGGCCATTGACTCCGATTTCAGCCTGCTTTTCTTTTTGGATTTGCTTCCATAGCCTTTGTCCAGCCAAGAACAAACTACAAGGCAGCAGTTGTTTAATTTTGGAGTTGTCTCTCCTAGAAGAGTGGCTTCCCCAGCTAACGAGCCTCATCTGCCCGAGAAATATATTTTTTAAAAATCCGAATAGTATCATGGAGTATTGCTTTTCACACCGTAATAGCAATTAGCAAAGCATAAATCGACATAAATGGAAAAAGAAACAAAGAAAATAAACCGGGAGTGATCTCCCCTAAACTTTCTCGAATATTATTATATGAAACAACAGGAGCAGAGTTTCTTCTTTATATAGAAAATATATACATTTAACAGGGTCCGCCCCCCCCCCCCCGAAGAAAGTCTACCACCCCCCACCCCCCGACAATTTCAAGTGCCCCCCCCCCTCACCCCTTAGGAGAAAAAAGTCTGGAAGAAACACTGAACAGGAGATGGCATCTCAGGATATAGACATGATTTTTAATCCATTTTAATTACTTAAACTTTTTAAAATGGAATAAAATATCGTAGAAAAAAGAATTGCACACCAAGTGAACGCCAAATAAAATGTGCATAATAGTGCGGAATATTATTAGTACTTTATAAATTCACATACCCCTTTTTTTTTAGAAATCGGAAATAGCGAAAATTACTTCTTCTGGTCAATGGAAATTACTCAAAATTTGACAGAAGGCAGAGAATTAGATCTTTTACTTACTTGTGAAATCGCATTTTTTGCATTTTTCTATCTGAAATAGTACTTAAGTTATATATAGGCTTTTGAAAAATTGAAAGTAGAAAAAGTTCCACTTCCGTTTATCGGAAATCGCTCAAAAGTTGATACGGATCTACAATTTCGATATAATACTTATAGATCTATATGAAATTTCATCAATCTAGCTGTAACGGTACTCAAGTTATCGTATTTACACACACACGTATACACACACACACACGGACAGAATTGGATAATCCATTTTTTCCGACTCCATTACGCATAAAACACCAAAATGTTAATATATCTGGATTTATAATTTTTGCCCGATTAAAATAAGTCCTCTATATTCCCGATGTGATGAAGGACTGAGGAGTAAAACGGTGAAAACTGTCCAAATTTAATGTGATTTTTGTGCACGATTACAAGACTTTCTCTATACTTTGTATATACGAGAAAGTAAATAAATGAGACAGTGAAACAGAACGTTGTACACATAGCATATTCTATATACTATAGAATAAAAGGCACCAGTATAATTGTACTAAATTTTGTAAATCTACATGTTTTCGTTGTTTGTACGTGTGTGTGTGTAGTCAACGAACGGGAGAAATTATGTTTAAATTCATGACGCAGTTATGCCCCTTTAATAGGTAAAATTGAGTGGTTAAACTGGTTAAACTTTTAAAAATACAAACAGTATTACTAACAGTATTTTTATTTAGAAATTTCGGCCACATATTAATATTATTAATAATACTGTCAATAACAGTATAAGGATCTTCAATTCCTAAGAGTTCAAGTTTTTTAACGTATTTTTCCTTTTCCGCGGGTGCGGTTCTTTACATACAGTGAACGCGTCCAGCGCTGGCGAACAGCTGATTGTGTTTACGTCTGGTGTACACCACTGTGGCGGCGGACGCAGGTATCACGTGATTTAGGTCACGTGTTTGCAAGGACTCTATTCGGCCGCGGTCAGTCTAGGTCCGTTTTTTTTTTTTTTTTTTTTTTTTTTTTTTTTTTTTTTTTTTTTTTTTTTTTTTGTCGTTTAAATTTAAGCTAGATTATTGAGAGGACCATAGTTTCCCGTAATTTGGCTAGAGAAATTCCTATACAGTATATCTGCAAATAACCAATGTAATTCAGGGTATGATTAACAGACAGGCGAACGAAATAGACTAACCGTTATCAACTAGGGTTTTATTTTTAGTTATTTAAATAGTAGTTCATTATTACATATTAAAAGCTTCAAAAATTCAAAATAAATACAGAAACAAAATTTAAAACAAAAAAACGTTTTTTTTTAAATAAAAAAAACAACAACATCTATTTAACTCAAATTCGGCTACATATTGCTTTGTAATCAGGTCTTGACTCAGGTGCAAAGTTTCGAAGAAATTGGCCCGTTAGAAGTGGTCGAAATTTCGCTCGCCAGTTTCGATCGACGTTAAAGCGCTACAGACAGACAAAAGAACGAGGAAGCAAGTTAAATAAAAGCTTGTAAAAAACGAAATTTAAAAAAAAAAATCATTAAAACGTTTTGATAACAAGCTTTTTGACAGAAACATGCGCATAGAAAGTAATATATTATTTGCAAAATTTTCGTCTATGTAACTTAAAAGGTACTCAACTTATTGTCATTTGAGAATCCGGAAGTAGAGGAAGTACCATTTCCGGTTAACGGAAATCGCAAAAAAATTGATATAATACATAAATGTGAAGTTTCGTGAACATAACTTGTACGGCACTCAAGTTATCTTATTTTCACAGACAGACAAAATTGCAAAACGTCCAGATTGCTCATCATGACACAATGGGCTATTTTACACTAACAACATAGACTAGAACTAGATTCTAGATCTAATCTAGAGTCTAGATCTAGATCTAGCTCTTTTGCAATAGATTTAAAAATTACCAAATACTAATAGCTAATAGACCATAATTTTTAATTTTACTAATCTAAGATTCTGGCCTTGTGGGTTTATAATAATTAATATGAATAGGAAAAATATTAAATATATCTAGATTAGATCTAGGCTCAATATCTACTATTAACTATTATAAGGTCTAAGTCCTACTGAAACTTATTACTATTTAATTTCATTCTGCACTCATGTAGAAGCTTAGTTATATTAATTATATATATAAATATATATATATATATATATATATATATATATATATATATATATATATATATATATATATATATATATGTTACGGTCAAAGCCCGAAGTGTGGCCAAAGCGCGGATTGGCCGGCCAATGCGCGGATTGGCCGGCTCTCTTGGCCAAAGCCCGAATAACTTCGCACTAAGATTGTATTTCGTACTTTGGCCGGCCAATGCGCGCACTGGCCGGGATGTCCTGGCCAATGTTCTAACTAGACTAACTTGTGATTGCGTTTTCATTATTCTGGGTGCGGATTCATTGTGAGTAACGTATTGTTTAGCTCTTGTTTGTATAGCATTCTATATGCAAGGCGACATAGATCAAAAGGGCCATCAGACCATGAGACAGACAGTATACTTTGGCCGGCCAATGCGCGCACTGGCCGGGACGTACTGGCCAAAGTCCGAAGCGCTTAAACTTGACAGCGTATTTTGTACATTGGCCGGCCAATGCGCGCACTGGCCGGGATGTCCTGGCCAATGTTCTAACTAGACTAACTTGTGATCGCGTTTTCATTATTCTGGGTGCGGATTCATTGTGAGTAACGTATTGTTTAGCTCTTGTTTGTATAGCATTCTATATGCAAGGCGACATAGATCAAAAGGACCGTCAGACCATGAGACAGACAGTATACTCAGTTACCAGGATCATTTAACCAAGTTCCTGTTGTTGCGAGCTTTGGAAACCAAAAGAGCAAAAGAAGTTGCTTACCAGCTGCTTGATATCTTCACGACTATTGAAGCCCCAAGTGTGCTTCAATCAGATAATGGAAGAGAATGTGTTAATCAAGTTATTTCGGAACTAAAGAACATGTGGTCTGAACTTAAACTAGTCCACGGAAAACCAAGGCATAGCCAAAGCCAAGATTCAGTCGAACGTGCCAACCAAGATGTTCAAAATATGATGATGACATGGATGCAAACAAATGAATCAGCTCATTGGGCTGAGAGTCTCAAATTCATTCAATTTATGAAAAATCGTTCTTTTCATCAAGGAATCCAACAATCGCCATAAGAAGCCTTGTTTGGATGCAAAGCAAAAGTGGGACTTAGCACTTCAAATCTACCAAGAGAGGCTCTCGATAAAATAGTTACTGAGGAAGATCTTGAGAACATTGAACAAGAAATGGAGAATGTTATAAATGCAACGACTTCCTCAGCTAACACATCTGCTGCCTTGGCGGAACGTCCAGACCAGTTGCGTGACAATAATGTGGCCAACAGATTCTGTATAGTTTGTGAAAAACATTACAGTGCAGCTCATTCTTGTGGATCCTGTGGCAACGATGTCCATGCTATGTGTGGAATACCAAATGAAGCAGAAGAAGGGTACGGAGGAAATATTACCTGCAGATTATGTAACAACAAACAAGACATCATGGAACACAGGTCAGCAGCTCATAATAGCTTGCAAACTCAAGGTGCTAAGATGCTTAAAACATCAAATACAAAATTTCAAGATGGTGATGTGGGTGACAATGTACGCTTCCGTGTTCCAGATGTTGACAGAAGTCGCGGTAATCCCCGAAGCGTGATTGCCATTGTCGTTTTCTACAAAACGGTTTCTACAAATTAGGAACGGAACATGGTGTTCTAAAACAACTATATGCTAGAAGTGAGTTTTCAATTCTTCACGAACAACTGCTCTTATTGTCGTCAGTTGGCACTGAGGAAAAATCACCACGAACCATCGCATCTTCACAATCATTGACTGGGGGCCAAGGCTACACTCGCTGCAATTGCACAACCAAGTGCTCAACAAATCGCTGCAAGTGTAAAAATAACAAGCTACTATGTAATTCTAAATGCCATTAAAGTTCAGCTTGTTGTAACAAATTATAATATTGATTGATTGAGACTATAGTACAATAAAAATTTTGAATGTTTCTGTCATTTATTTAATTTTATGATCCTTACGGCATAAAAAAAACACCAAAATCTGCTCATGATCTTCTAATTCGGACTTTGGCCGGTCGTTCCTAGCCAGATGATCTTCTAATTAAGACTCTGGCCGGTCCGCCATGGCCAGTCCGCGGACTGGCCGGCCAAAGGCCGAAATCAAGCAATGTTTCGGACTTTGACCGGTCAATGGGAGGCGATATTGGCCAATGCGCGGATTGGCCGGCCAATCCGCGAATTGGCCGACTTCGGGCTTTGACCGTAACATATATATATATATATATATATATATATATATATATATATATATATATATATATATATATATATATATATATATATAATTCTCTTCTTGGAGACCTTAGAAAACACCAAGCTGTAAGCGCGCTCCCTACCACCCCCCCCCTACATGGTCTGGTAAGCTGTGGTTCACGCTAAATGTTTACAATCTTAGAGCCGGGTTTAGTGACGGCTATTAGGGGCAGATAATTTAATTTGAAACTATTTTAAACTTAGAGGAGGTAACTAAGAGCCAAGAGGAGTTTGCTTTCACGGGGGGGGGGGGGGGGGGGGGGGAGAGAAGGGGAGAAGGGGTTCAGTGTTTCTTCCAGACTTTTTTCTCCAGGGGGCACTTGAAATTTTCGGGGGGGGGGGGGCGGTAGACTTTCTTCGGGGGGGGGGGGGGCGGACACTGTTAAAAGTATATATTTTCTATATAAATTATATAAATTTCATTTCGTACGGGGGGGGGGCGGTAGAAGAGATGCCTGGAAGAAACTCTGAAGGGGTTGGGCAAAAGAGGGGGGGGGGGGGGGATAACGTCCTTAACGAGCTACTCTACTGATAGTGTTTTAAAGCAAATATTTTCAGTGGCAGCATTGGTACTGTCGAATTCACAAATTATGAATTTCTAAAAAGTAGAAAATAAAACAACTAAATATCGGCGTATGATACACCGCGGGTCGGCTCGTTATTAATATTATTATAATTAGGCCTACACTATATCTAATATATAAAGCTCAGTTCTGTATGTAAAAATACGTTTGTATATCGTTGACATACTTCCATGGATTAAAGTGTTAGAATATTACCGTGCGCATTTGTCTAAATTTATGAGTTAAAAAATTACTGTTGAAAGTGTTGGGAAATAATTTTCATTTTTCAAACTGATAGTAATAATTGTCGGCATGTTCATTAAACACAAGTTTTAAAAAAATATCATCTTTTACAAAAATTCTAATTATGTCTTTATTTAGTCCTATAGCACTTACTTCCCTTTGATAAATTAGGCAAAACACAATTACTTCCCTTTAGAAAACCATTGCATTAGTTGAAAAGATTTTACTTTTTAATTACTTTGTTTTGGTGATCAAGTGCACATGTTGTAGGTATTTTACGGATAAGCTTGGAGTATTATAATTGTTCATTAAATTGAAACAGGCGCGTTCGTTTAAGTGAGTGCAAAAGACTATGAATAAGTTGGGGTACTATAGTCGTTCATTAAGCTAAAACAGGTGATTCCGCCCCGGGCGTTTATGTTCGCGTTAGTGTTTTCTTTGTGTTTAGGTGGGTTTGCGTTAGTGGTTGCGTTTTGATTTGGTTCGTTTTTGTTCTTTCTTTTTTCGTTTTTGTTTGTGTTTGTATTTGTGTTTTTGGTTGGTTTTGCGTTTGGATTTGGTTTGTTTTCGTTTGCTTTTTCGTTGTTTTTTTGTGTTGGTATTGGTGGTTGTGGTTGGGTTTGTTGTTAGGTTTTTGTTTTCGTTTGCTTTTTTGTTTGTTTTTTCTTTGTTTTTGTATTGGTGTTTGTGGTTGGGTTTGTTGTTAGGTTTTTTTTTTCGTTTGCTTTTTTGTTTGTTTTTTCTTTGTGTTTGTATTGGTGTTTGTGGTTGTGGTTGGGTTTGTTGTTAGGTTTTTATTTTCGTTTGTATTTGTAATTGTGTTAGCGTTATGTTTGCGTTTTGTTGTTTTGTTTTTGGTTGGTTGTGGTTTGGGTGGGCAATGCCGGGTTTATGATGATTACTAAACACACAGGTAATGGTCTTTAACAGAAAGGTTTTTCACAGAAGCCAGAGCAGGGCCTGGCCGGGACGGCTAGTAGTACTATATAGGCCTACATATTTTTGGTCTAATTTTATGTTGACCACTCTCATGCTTAGAAGGATAAATAAAAACGGCATCACCTGATACCAACAACATAATGGCGGCAGTCATAGACGCCGTCAATGCATTGTTGGCCTCTGGTGAACACAGACATATTTTATCCGTAATTAAAGGATTTCGAAATGGAGCGGTGTAAGTACCTATCAGCTTGCTTTTTAGATCTTTTTAGTACTATTTACACTTGTTTCGTCTTTGCATGTTAAAAATATAGATGCATCTATTGAACTATTACTATTCGGCTCGGACCCGGGCCGGGTCCCAACACCGCGGCCGGATTGGGACCCGGGTTCTTAGGGTGAACGGAAAAAAAGTCACAGGAATAAAAAACACAGAAAAAAAGTCACAGTTTTCGCTAGGAAAAAAGTCACAGAAAAAAAAGTCGCAATGGAAACATTTTATCGGCAAAAAAGTCACAGAAATAAAGACACAGAAAAAAGTCACAAAAATCATTTCAGAAACAGAATCTACTCAGTAATCTATAGCCTATTTATTAGGCTATTTAATAGGCCTATTAAGTATGTTTTGATTTATTTGTTGAAAATTGTAAAATTTTGTAGCCTATGTTTATTGATTATTGGGTTGTATTTTTTTTATAGGATAGCCTATAGATTATAGAATATTAATTTTATTAGGCCTATAGATCTATAAATTATAGACGTTAAAAGCATTTTGGCTAATTATGGTTTATAGGCCTAACAATTGTAAGTAAAAAAAAGTCTAAGATAATTTACACAACAATCTCAACTTTTGTTACGCATTTTGTTAAATAGTAAATACGTGGTAGAAAAGTTAATTATAAAAGAAATTTAGGCACATCATTGTGTTTTGGATATTTTATGTTATGCTGTAGGCTATTCTCTGGTCGGCCTCTTCTCTGTCGGCCTTGTCCGAACATATTGTGTGTTGTTGATGTTTTGTGTTAATGACAGCCTTTGAATCTTGTTGGCTTTCTGTATTGATCCTATGCTTTGTTATGTAATGAGTGTGATAAATGTGGGCAGTAAAGGTGGTTGAACTAATCAGATGAACTTACTATTCACGGTAATTTAATGTTAGTATTTTTTAAAAACATGATGAAAACCAAGGATGTTGGAACATTCTATTAAATGCTATTAATATTATGTTTAACATAATTACAATATACATACTGCACACAATTTTTTTAGATGAATCATAAAAATTACCATGCGTATACAACCTACACACATTACAGTACACTTAATTAATCATAAGCTAATTTGCACTCTCTGAATATATAATTCATAAAAGTAATATCAAATTCCATGCAAATATATATTTGTGACTTTTTTCCTGTGACCTTTTTTCTGTTTTTTTTTTCCTGTGACTTTTTTTCCTACAATCGTTCTTAGAGCTATTCGGACTAGCCAATAAAATTGTTAAGATTTAGTTAAACAATATTTCTTTTAAGATGCAGAATATATCTTTTCTATTGTGATTTTTTGTAAAACTCCATTTTAGCGAATTATATTCCTGGCTTCACGTTCACCTCCAGTTGAGCGTATTTTATTATAAACACAACCGAAACACACAAAAATTATTTTTTTTCAAGTCATTCCAAAACACAGCTTAAAATAATTAGTAGACCCCTTCTAATTTAAGCTTATCGGGTCTAGGTCTATAACATCTCCCATCACATTAACTAATACTTTCTTAATTTTAAAATCTCCTGGAATTTATTTAAAAACCCCGGAAACTCATGGAATTTATTTTTAGTTTTGGAGCATGAACCCTAATATATATATTATAAAGATCTAGATCCAGTAGAGTAGAGTAGTAGAGTACTCTAGAGTAGGTTAATACTGGTAGTAAATAGTTGAAATAGATCTAGCCTAGTCAAGTTCAGTGTCACCTGACTCTCTTCTTACAAGTTCTAACTAAATTTAGCTGCACTCTACCTACTTCTACTCTAGCTGCTAGTGGCCTAGCCATGTATGTAGATCTAGGTAAACCACCAATCATGTTCTGCAAATGCACTCAGTACTTCACTAGCTAGAAATAAATTTAGATATTTTTCAGTAAATTTGATTAGAAACTAGATCTAATACTAGTTTATTCATGGTATATTTATCATGCCTTGGTAGCTTGTGTGCCCTGACAAACCCCAGAGCTATACCAGCTGGTTGGTTCAACCAAGCTGGGAAGATCAAATCAATATCAATAGAGTTTTTCATACTTTGAAGTTTTCAAAAGTTAGATAATTCATTTACTTGACAAGTTCTTTTTTCTTCTTCAACACAGCTACGGTGCGAAGATTCGATTTCCTCATGCTCTTGTTATGACATTTTTGTTTAGGAATGGAAGGTAAGTGAAATAAAATGAGGAAGGGGAGGGAGATTTTATTGGGGTATCCTGGACTGGAAGGTAACCAACCCACAAATAACCCTCCACAAAACGCCAGCTCTAATCTGATCTTTCTTTGATCCAAGCCTAACAGAGACCCTAATGACCCAGCAGGAAAAGATTCATGATAAATTAGTACCACTGCTCTATCTCTAAATTCCTCATCTCCATAGCTCCTTAGGTGAACTAATTGTTCTGGTAATCATTGAAGACAAAATATGCCCCCTTTAAAAATGTATTGCAGAAGAATAAAGTGAAACTTTAAAAAAGAGTTGTAATATGTCAGGTATATGGCCCAAAACTAAAATGTATGTTGTGACAGACTCACATCTGGAGAATGATTACACCAGAGATTGAGGCATGCAGCAACATATTCATTTCAAAGCTGAAACTTAATTTTAAACTATGTGTATACAACTTATCCAAAAAACTAAAAAATTAATGTGATTAATTTGCTTTTCTTTAGTCTCAGAGACAAGATCAAGGCAATTGTGGAAGCTACATATACACATTCAAGAAACTTAGCACTTTTTGTGTTTGCGTTTAAAGGTTTAACATCCACTTTGTCATGGGGGGAATCGAAATCTCATCAGCTTCATGCTTTCCTCTCTGCATTTTGTGCTGGCTTTGTCATTTTTGGCAAATACAATAAAGTTAATGAACAAGTATGTAACCACTTATTTAAAACAAAAAGTTTACTATCTTATTAAAATATTTTTGTTTATAAACGCAATTTAGTTTCACATCAATGAATTCTTTATTGTGCAGATTTGGTAAAATAATTTTTTCTTTCAGATCAATCTTTACCTATTATCAAGAGTAATATATGGCTTAGCAAAACTGCTAGTCCAGAAGAAAATAGTTCCAGAGCCCCAAACCAATATATTCCCATGGTTTGCTGCCATCATGTGGGGAACAACTCTATGGTTATTTGAGTATCAGCAATCTTGTCTCCAGTCCTCGCTAGTCTCCTCAATGACCTACATTTATAAGGATAGTGAGAAATGGACAAGTCTCAGGGATTTCTTGCTATATAATGAGTAACTTAGACAAAAGATCTGTCACTGTAAGTTTAGAAAATTTAAAATACGTTTTCAATTTCGTTTTTCAATTTCATCTCGTCAGTGGTGAAATTATGGTCTCAAATCTTGTCTAGTTAATTTATCTTGTCTTACCAAGACTATTTCTGTCAACTATGCTGCTTAATATTTTGACCTTAAGCTAATGGTATGATTCACTATCACTAATAGTATAGATTAATGTTCTGAGCTTAATTGTGAAGTTAAATTAATGAAGCAGTCTGTCCATAGAAGATACTTGTTGCCTTATTTTATGTAGAAAAATTATTTAATTTTAATACTTTTGTATTTCTCAGACAACCTGCATGTGGTCTAGTAAATGAACCAAGCTTGCTTGTAGTACAGTGACAACATTACCACCAGCTACACATGAATTTAAAAAAATGTTTTATCAGTGACAACACATAAGTAACAGTATATAATACAGTGGACACAAAACTATTTGATTTGCTGATTGTAAATTTGTGCTTCACACAAGATCCCAGTGCAAACAAGTTTTTTTTAAATTACTTGTCCACTGCTTCTTGATGACAAGTCTAAACTTGTCTGTTCCTTGTCTTTCATAGAATTTTACTCCAGCAGTAATTGAAATTGACAAACATTTTTGATGAAACAAAACTCCTTTACAAATATTCAACTGTGTTTATATAAATATTTCCCTAAATTGGTTATCCCACTGTACTTTTATTTATGAGTTAAAAAGATCTCATTCTTAAAGCTTATTTTTTTAGAACATTTTAGACACAGACTTAGGAAACTTTTTTTTCTGAAATCATTATGTCAATAAATAGGAACTTTGTTAAATTATATTTCATTACAATAGCAGAGAGATAATGTTTCAAATATGTCATTTGAAGAAAAATCCTCATAGATAATAATAGGTAATTTGTTAATGCTTGGCATTTTAAAAACTAAGTGTGAAAGGTTACGTTGATCCATTTTTTAAGAGCCTTTTTTTTAAAATATTTTTCCTAGAACCAATTAACTAACAGAATATTTAATTAATGGGCATTGATATTTTTATGCATTAATAAGTAAATAATTGATCCCAAGTTCCACATTCAAGGTTACTTAGCTTGCACAACCTGAACCACCATGGACTGGCTTCTGTTGCATGCACTGAACAGTGACCTTGCCGTGTTGGCTAAGTGAATACAGTCATGTTCAGACTGTACCTGGACAGTTCTTGTCAAATATATTTTTAATTCTCTTGGGTTTACCATATCTAGTTTTAAAAGCAACTGGTTCTTCATACATACTAAAGAGATGTTACACAACTGTATCAACCATCCCAAATGTCTGAACCTCAATTAATGACTACCCTCATATCCAGTGAAAAATACAATGTCATAGTAACAGTTGGCTAAATACATTTATTTGTTTGCTTTTATACTTTGATTTTATTCTTTGATTTTTTTTCTTGCATTAGGTTTTTAAAAAAGCAAAATGCAAAGAAATCCTCAATTTTCTCCAGATTGATTATTTTTTTAGGAAGAAAAAAAATTACTCACTATCTCTTGCTTATTTAGCTTGGTTTCTTCCTGTCACTTAAAAAATATTGGTAGCTTCATAGATATTTTAAGTTCACTAATTTGATTAAAATCAACATATGCTTTATAGTTTAACAGGCAATTGATTTTTTTTAAAAGGTTGTTTTATCATGCATTATGTTTGCTTACTTAAGCAATAGAGAATGCTTCAGTGATATGCAATGCTATAATGTCAGAGTAAATATTTTTTCCATCTGTTATTACATGGTTTTTCTTCATCTTCGTATGTTATTTATTCATGTTATATTTCAAGTATATATATTTATACTGTATTTATATATAGAAGAAGAATCAAACATTTATGTGTATATATACTTTATATACATCTTTATATATGTGTATATATACTTTATATACATACATATATATAAATATATGTATGTATTATTTTTTGCTGCATAATCATTTTAGATTTTATGCCAAGTATGATGTTTGTGTACCTGATTCATGTTAGGGAAACAAAACATTGAGCTGAACTCACTGTACCTCTGTATGTCAAGGTCATAAAAACAAAAGAGCTCTACAGGAGAAGATGATGATGATGTTTTGTCATAAGATTTCTGTATACATTCATTGCAAACTGACACCTTTAGAAATATTTCAATATAAATATTGGCTCAATAACTTGACGAATATCTCCATATAGATTGATACCAATAATATACTAATACAGGTTTGGTACTACATTGTTCAAAATAATAATTTTGAAATAGTGCTAAGGAATGTGAACATTTTATTGGTGTAAAGGTGTGTTTAATTACCCAAGATTGTGGTTTGACTTAGCAGCAAATTTCACGTGACTGGCCTAACAGTAGTGGAGTAAAACAAACAGCTTAAGGAAAGAATTTACATTGTAGGTGCCATTTCTGTGTGAATGTTTCTTTCATTTTAGTTTGGAAGGGAAAATGTTTGTGTAATGGTTATGCAGCAAAAAAATGACATTGAGGTAGAGAATGCCCATGATTGTTACCTGAAGTAAGAAAAAACATTTCCCCTTTAGTTTTGTGCCTTGAGATGCTGTTTTTAAATTAAAAAATTCCGTTCCTACCGAGTAAATCAGAGAAAATGTTTAGCCCTGGTGTACAAACCTGCTAGTTGTTTTTTTCAGTTCACTATTTAATGTGACTACATAACGATGTGAAAAAGGCATATTTATCCACCAGATTTTAATGTCTACATTTGTCTCTAATAAATTACAATAAATATTTATATATTATATACAGTTACATTTAAAAAAAAATCTTCTGTAATGTTAAATTACTAAGCTCATGCATGTCCTTATTTTTGTATTTAGCCTACACAAATGCATACACTAACTACATGTCTGCTGAGGTTTGGTATTAAAAAAATGCTTACTTGGGCATGTGGTGTTCCTGCTTCCATTACTTTTAAAGTTCAGTTATATATATATATATATATATATATATATATATATATATATATATATATATATATATATATATATAAAGTTTTACATATTTTTATTTTTTCAACACAGCTTTTTACATCATTTCACTAGACTTCTAATTTTATTGCTGTTTGGTTTGCCAAATTTGTAGATGTTTTATTAATCCATTATGAGCCTTCACGTGTGATTTTTGGCTAGCAAATAGTTGTGCATAGGATTCATGTGACAACATAGTAAGATTAGCTGTTTATACAGCAATGTTTTCTATAAATAAAAGTATTGGAATTATTGTAGCTGTTGACATAAATCTCTCTTGTTTAAATTATGTTACTTTTGTCTAATATTGTCATATATTTTAGATGTAACTTGGTGAGCTAAAGTTTTTTTGTCTTTAAATATCTGAAGGTACACTTGTTAATAAACTTTCTAATATCTGGCATTGCAAATTACAGACTCAAGATTAGGAATACGCCACAGACAGCTTTTACTTTGTAAACCACACTAAAAAAATTTATTACTTCATTTTTATCTGAATTATGGTCATCTTTACAATAATTTATATTGGCACTCTGCTGAACAAGACACAACCCTCAGGTTTTTTAAAAACAGGATATCAAGCTCAATATATGAGGATATTTACAGACCACAAACAACAATAGTTTAGTGTCAACAGAATGGCTTCAGAGTTTCATCAGGTCTATTTTTAAATGTAAGGTTGTTTTAAGTGGTCATATGTAGTAAATTCTTGCTAAAGTTTTTAATATAATAATACCACAAAGACAAAGGCTAGATTCTCAAATTAAGAACAGACAACCATCAGTTTTCAAGTTTGTTTTTGGATTTTGTTTTCCTACCAGGTAATCACTGCCTACATTTAATGTAACATTTTCATAGTTTTCCAATTTTTATAAGTGATTTTATTGTACTTTTAATTATTAATTGTAGTCAGTAATTTAATTTCGATGTTTTGATTTATATAGTTTTACATTCTAATTTCTGTATGTTTTGTTTGATGCACTTATTAAAAATAGTTTAAAATAACAGAAAATAATTTATTAAATAAAAATGCATACTAGACTTATGATTTATATATGAAATTAAAAGAAATGCTTTCTAAAAAAATCCTCAGTTTGTCTGTCTGTCGATCTCTCTCCGGATATATATATATATCCATCTGTCCAACCAGTTGTCTGACTCTGTATCCATTTGGAGAAAAAACAAACAAATTTACAAGATTTATGCACTATTATTACATAATTCCATTTCATCAAATGCTTAATATAGAAATGTTAAGGAAAACAAAACTTAAATGCTTTGTTGGAGTTAAAATAGTTAGGTTCTAAGGTAGTGATACAAATATATATATATATATATGTGTATATATACATATATATATATATTACACACGACGTAGTGACGCCACTAGCTTAAAACAAATATCTTAAATATCAAACCACAAATATCTGCCCTGTATTCTGGACACTACGTAATTTGATCATCTTTTAAACAAAAGTTAACCTAAATGTCGATTTCCCGACGTCACGAATACTTTTAAACACGCAGAGGTGGTTCATGAATTGATGTTGGCATATTATCTGGGTGTGAGTCGTCGTTCTCTAAAGCAATGATATATAGCCTAAAACTCTTTTTAACCATTCTTAGCTCTGAAAGTCAAAATAATACCACTAGTCTAAAAAAATCGCCCCGTGGACCTACATTAATATATGTACAAGAAAGTGTTTTTTTTTGTTTAAATTGAGTGCAAGACAAACGCCACTGCTCGTTCAATACCTACACAAGTTACAACAGAAGAGCAATTTGAAATTTCCATCTTAAAATCACCGTGAGCGACATCTGTTTTCCTTTGTCTGAGACAACAGTGACTACATCTCCCCATCTGTTTTCCTTAGGCTGACTGAGACAACAGTGACTACATCTCCCCATCTGTTTTCCTTAGGCAGACTGAGACAACAGTGACTACATCTCCCCATCTGTTTTCCTTAGGCAGACTGAGACAACAGTGACTACATCTCCCCATCTGTTTTCCTTTGAGACAACAGTGACTACATCTCCCCATCTGTTTTCCTTAGGCTGACTGAGACAACAGTGACTACATCTCCCCATCTGTTTTCCTTAGGCTGACTGAGACAACAGTGACTACATCTCCCCATCTGTTTTCCTTTGGCTGACTGAGACAACAGTGACTACATCTCCCCATCTGTTTTCCTTAGGCTGACTGAGACAACAGTGACTACATCTCCCCATCTGTTTTCCTTTCTCTGAGACAACAGTGACAACATCTCCCCATCTGTTTTCCTTAGGCTGACTGAGACAACAGTGACTACATCTCCCCATCTGTTTTCCTTAGGCAGACTGAGACAACAGTGACTACATCTCCCCATCTGTTTTCCTTAGGCAGACTGAGACAACAGTGACTACATCTCCCCATCTGTTTTCCTTTGAGACAACAGTGACTACATCTCCCCATCTGTTTTCCTTAGGCTGACTGAGACAACAGTGACTACATCTCCCCATCTGTTTTCCTTAGGCTGACTGAGACAACAGTGACTACATCTCCCCATCTGTTTTCCTTTGTCTGAGACAACAGTGACTACATCACCCCATCTGTTTTCCTTAGGCTGACTGAGACAACAGTGACTACATCTCCCCATCTGTTTTCCTTTGTCTGAGACAACAGTGACTACATCTCCCCATCTGTTTTCCTTAGGCAGACTGAGACAACAGTGACTACATCTCCCCATCTGTTTTCCTTAGGCAGACTGAGACAACAGTGACTACATCTCCCCATCTGTTTTCCTTTGTCTGAGACAACAGTGACTACATCTCCCCATCTGTTTTCCTTAGGCAGACTGAGACAACAGTGACTACATCTCCCCATCTGTTTTCCTTAGGCAGACTGAGACAACAGTGACTACATCTCCCCATCTGTTTTCCTTTGTCTGAGACAACAGTGACTACATCTCCCCATCTGTTTTCCTTAGGCTGACTGAGACAACAGTGACTACATCTCCCCATCTGTTTTCCTTTGGCTGACTGAGACAACAGTGACTACATCTCCCCATCTGTTTTCCTTAGGCTGACTGAGACAACAGTGACTACATCTCCCCATCTGTTTTCCTTTGTCTGAGACAACAGTGACTACATCTCCCCATCTGTTTTCCTTAGGCAGACTGAGACAACAGTGACTACATCTCCCCATCTGTTTTCCTTAGGCAGACTGAGACAACAGTGACTACATCTCCCCATCTGTTTTCCTTTGTCTGAGACAACAGTGACTACATCTCCCCATCTGTTTTCCTTAGGCAGACTGCGACAACAGTGACTACATCTCCCCATCTGTTTTCCTTAGGCAGACTGAGACAACAGTGACTACATCTCCCCATCTGTTTTCCTTAGGCTGACTGAGACAACAGTGATTACATCTCCCCATCTGTTTTCCTTTGTCTGAGACAACAGTGACTACATCACCCCATCTGTTTTCCTTAGGCTGACTGAGATAACAGTGACTACATCTCCCCATCTGTTTTCCTTAGGCTGACTGAGACAACAGTGACTACATCTCCCCATCTGTTTTCCTTTGTCTGAGACAACAGTGACTACATCTCCCCATCTGTTTTCCTTAGGCAGACTGAGACAACAGTGACTACATCTCCCCATCTGTTTTCCTTTGTCTGAGACAACAGTGACTACATCTCCCCATCTGTTTTCCTTTGTCTGAGACAACAGTGACTACATCTCCCCATCTGTTTTCCTTAGGCTGACTGAGACAAC